TCCTTTAGTAAAGGTAAGATGGCAAACGGAAGCATTTGGTAGACATTCTTGTTCTTCAAGTAAAATAGCACTGGTATCATCAACTGATATGAAATTATAGTTAGATTCAACTTCAGTCATACCATCTCCATTAACTTTTGGTATGATCCACTCACCTATACAGTAATTGTTAGTAGTATTAAAATACTGTAATACTGTTATGTATAAAATTTACCTGTAGCAATTCTAAAATAATGAATATTAATAGATCCCAGTTCAATTATTACAAGATAATCTTCTCCCTCAATCTTTACAGCAATCATACCACATTCATCCTTCTCCTTATAGGACCATCCTTAGGATTATTAGGTATAACTTTCCTCCATTTGAGAGTATCAACATTTAAACTGTACAGAACATTATCATCATAGCGACCATAATGACTACAACGTCCTCCATAATAGAATATCTCATTCCCAATAGCAACAGCTACATAGCCAACGATTCCCAGTGGAGGATCGCCAGTGGTAGGTTTCTGCTCCCACCTACCAGTCGGAAGGTGACGTACCTCCACAAGTGATGAATCTCTTTTTTCTATCTCAATATTGTGATCTTTAGAACTAGCTGATAAGTCATTTTTTTCCCCACCCCACATATAAAGACAGTCTCCTACTATTACTGTAGAATGGCCACTTCTCTTAGCAGGTTCATAGTCTATAGCACAACTTATCAATCAAGCAATAATCATTGATTCTGAACTTACTGAAGCTGTTGGATGCCATTTGTTCAAGGGGTGTGGCAGTCTGGAAATAACAAATAATTTCATTTACTCTATTACCTATGAAAAACTCATAGATACATGTACATGTAGGTGTGGCTAATGGATACAGTGTAGTGATCTTACAAAAATGAGATCAAATAATAATAATAATAGTAATTACAGGAAGACGAACAAAATAGATAACACATTATGAATAATCAAAAAAACAAGAACAACAAAAAGCTAGAACACAACAACAACAACAACACAATAATAATTTATCATTTCAAAAGCTAAAGTGTATCAATAATAAAATTAAAACTGATGAGCTCGAGAATGAAAATGAAAGTAAAAATGAGAGAAAAAGGAGAATAATCAGAGAGAGGGAGATAATAAATAGTCTTAGTAAAATTCAATAAGTAGTTGCAAGATGACGGGTCTCTCTTCTACTAAAGTGAAGCAGTCCCGACTGACACACTGTTACTAAGACTCTGCTCTGATGATACAGAAGAGTGCTCTCCTAGTATCAACTGCTCAGAGTTTAGCGAGATGTGATCGTTGGAGTATTTCTCTGCAAATTCCTTCCATTCTTTTAGCTGGTTACGCTGGAGGGTCTGCTGCCTTTCTAGCCTTAGGTTTTGAAGACGAGTTGACTCTTCGAAGATCTAAAGAGGAGGGAGAGAGGAATTCAAAAGTTATTAGTTTATCATTAAAATAGTTCTGTACTCCCAGATTCAAGAAAATAAATTTTTAATGAAGCCCCCAAACTGGTTTATGTTACCTGTCTATCCAGTTCTCTTTTGCTGTTCTCGATTTTCTCATCAAGGAGTTGTGTCTCCTTATCATGCTGACTAAGGAGTTTGAGCTCTTGCTTCTCTTGAAATTGCTGAAGGAGATCCTGTTCTTGTTGTAGCTGCTTCCTTAAAGCTTCCTGCTCAGCTAACTGAGCTTCATCTAACATTACCTAAAGAGGGAGAGGAGGAAAGACAGAAGAAATTAGAGAAAATAATAAAAGGAGGAGAGAAATGATCAATTTTATCATACACGACAATGTAAAGATGTACATGTACATGTACATGAAACACTACTACTAATAAGTAATAATAAAAGCCACAGTATAAGAAGTACATGTACATATGCATAAATCTACAGTATCTTACAGTTTGTTGCTGCAGTACTTCATTGATGGTCCTCTCATACTGCATTGCTAGCATTGACATTTTCCTCATCTGCTCCTCCTTAGTGTGCCGGAGTACTTCCCTGTGCTGCTCTTTAGGTAGTGTGGACTGGAGCTGCTTCTGTAGACTCTTGTATTGTCTGGTCTGAATCTTGACAGTGTCATTAAACTGACCCTTTATCTGCTGTCTCTTTAACTGTGTGGAGGAGACAGGGACATCATGAACACATCAACTTATGATCAATACAATGAAGGAAAGTCAAGGAGACTAAGATTAAATGGGGACTACATGTACATGTACTTTTAAATGTTTTGAAAAAAAATAGGATTCAAAAGACTATGATTTTTAATCGCTAAAATGAATTTCAGAAACCAAGTTTTACCTAACACTTTTGCCATGATTTTTAATACTTAGCAATAACAAATTTAAAATTATTTAAAAATAATTTCTAACACACAGTGACTGGTGGTATATGTACCTTTAAGCTTTTAGGATGCTGCTTTAGCTCCAAGACGTGTTTCTTTCTCAGTTCTCTCTCTGCCTTCCGACTGTAGGCAATCTGATTGTCCCACTCCAGAGCATGCTGTTTATTGAGGTGATCTGTTCTCATTTCATGAAGAGTCTTCAGTTGCTCCAGTTGAAGTTCTATTGTTGCTAAGAGATGCTTCCGTCTCATTTCTTGGACTTTCTCTTTATGAAGCTGCATAAGGTTCAACTCCTACAAATAGATAAATAATAATAATTACACATTCTCTGGTAGGCAATGTTGGCCCTATTGTATGTACATGAACATGTACTACAGCCCATGATTTTTAAAAATTGTTCCAAAATCACCTCAAATTTTTATTACATTTTCTGATACATATTGATGTACTTATGCTGTGTAGCAAGTTTGAGCTGATTCTGACTTCAATTTTTCGAGTTATGACCATTTAAGATTATGACCTTTTAATACATGTACAGTACATGTACATGTACATGTATACTGTGCTTTATACATTATACATACACATTATTAGTTTCTCACTTCTTGCAGAAGTTGTTTCTCTATATTCTGTTTCTCGTGTAACAGTTTTTGTCTAAAGTCCACCATGTCGTGCTCAGCCTGTGTCTTCAGTATCTGGAGGTGCTCCTCCTCAATCTTCTTCTGTTCAACGTGCAGCTCTCCTTTCCTGGAGTCATAGAGCTGCTTCCTTTTAGAACTGGACAAGTTTACATTCTCTTCTAACTCCTGTGACAGAGGAGGAGGAGGAGAGAGAAAGAAAGGAAAAGTGTGCAAAAGAGAGAGAAAGAAATGAATTTGTAATATATACATGTAGTACACTTGTATGTACAATGTACAATGTACATGTACATGACTATACATGTACATGTATTTACTATACTCTACTGTACATGTAGAAAGAGAACAGAAAAGTTGGACAATTACAAAAAGCCACTAATTAATAAAAATTTACCGTATAAAGATATTTATATATAAACACAAATAAAAATTCCGGACCTTCTTAAACAAAGCCTTGGTTGCCCTGTAGTCTGACTTCTGCTGTGACAGGAACTGCTTCATGTCCTGATCCTGTCTCTCCTTCAGACCACGCTGGAACTTACGATCCTCCGAAGACTCTTGCTTTTGCTGAAAAAAGAAAAAAGAGACAGAATAATTACATGTACATGTACACATGTGTATACAAGTACAATGTATATGCATGCAAAAATGTATTAAATATTGCTTGTTAAAAATACATTATTTAGCTTACTCTCTTATCAAATTCTGCTTTGTGGTTTAATCTAAGCCTGTCCAGGTCTTTCTCGTAAGATGTCCTCAACTGATCCAGCTCTCTCTCTTGTGTCTTTGATAGTGCAGACATTTCGTTTCTGTGCTTGATCTCCAACTGACCCATCTACATGTACACGTAAGAGAGACATGTAGTAATGTACTGTATACATGACTACATGTAGCTCTCTGTGTCTCTCTCCCCTTCTCCCTCCCTCCCTCCCTCCCTTCCTCCCTCTCTCTCTCTCCCTCCCTCCCTCCCTCTCTCCCCCCACCGCCCTCTCTCTCCAATTACTTGTCCTTTATGCTGTGCTCTTATTCTCTTGTATCCGATCATTTGTTCCTTAAGGTCGCTCTGGAGCTGATGCTCTTCCGCTTGTTTTGATACTAACGAGTGTGGGCGTAAGGTCGAAAAACCATCCGAATGACCAGCCTATTATAATACATGTAGTAAGTAATACACTTGCATAAACCAGTATATTCTAGTAAATTTCAGTATACTCTAGTAAATTCCAGTATACTTCCAGATATTTTGGTGTATTTTTAATAAACTTACCACTCTCCTTGCCACCTCTTCAGGTGTCATGCTTATCTTTGGTTTGGGTTCGTCGGCTCCGCTCACTGCCCCGCCCAATACACTAGCACTGCTACTGGTACTCTCTTCCAAACCAAATGAATCCACTGAAGAAAAATAAAATAAATAAATAAATGAAATACATAATATTTTACTGCACTATACATGCATGTACATGTACATGTACATTGTAGATGTAACATCAATTTTTTATTAGTTTAAATTATGTGTACATGTACATGTGCACAACACATGTAGCCATACAGCATACATGTACATACAGTATGTACATGTACATGTACATATACATGTACATGTACTCACTGGGTGATGTTGGTGTGATGGAGGCGGCAGCACTGGCTATACTATTACTCCTCTCCTGGGTAGAGACTACCTCACCAGTGTGATTGGATCTGATCACACCAGCACTCTAGGAATGAAACAGAAAACAAGAATACAATAGTAACTTTATTATTATGATTATAAATTTAAGCCATGTACCATTGAACATGTACATGTATGTGTACATGTAGCTCAAAATGATGGATTTTTATTTTGGCAAATGGTTATCAAAAACACCAAATTTTCCAAAATTAAATTCCTCAAAAATTTCCCACTATAAAGTACATGTAATGTACATGTACATGTACATGTATGTAAAACAACATGTAGACTCCCCCCTTAGACCTTTACCTGTGTTCTATTAGACCTCATTGGGCTGCTAGGTCCTAAGGATGCAGAGTGAGTGGGAGTGACTTCAGAATCCTCCTGCTGCTCTCTGAGCCTCCGGGTTAGGCTAGCACTGGAGACACAGACCCCGCCCATAATGAGGTCGTCGTCGTCGTGAGTGAGGGAGGGAGAGGGGGAGGAGAGGGCAGGAGAGGATCCGGCAGGATCTGTGACATCACTGCAAAAGATAGATTAGCGTAACAACATGTTTTTTAAATACATACATGTACATGTAATTTCAAATACTGCATAATAGCGTCATAAAAAATTTGCGGGTAATTCAATATTACAATCAGCAAATTTACATGTACATGTACATGTACATGTACAGTATGTGTATTTTTTAAAGATTTGCAAAATACATGTACATGTACCTGGGTGGTTCGCTCTCAATTTCATCAACTTCTATTTCCGAGTCCTCCTCTCCCATTAGCATCTTCTGGAGTCTCTTGAAGTTCCTGTGATCGACTCTACGTACAGCGTCTTTGGTCCTTTGGATCAGCTTGAAAACAATGTCACCACTTCTCGGGAGATTAATGAACCGATGCTATAAAGAGAGAGAGAGAGATAAGATTATTTTATTTTTTAATTTTTTACACATAATAATAGTAACAAACTAATAGAGCAAAATACATGTATATGTATGTATATGTAACATAAAACACAAAAAATGTAATATTAAGTACATGTACATTGTACATGCATAATGATAAAATAATAAATTAATATACATGTACATGTGTACATGTACTTACTGCGAGGGCTTCAGTTGAGTCTATTCTGTCTTCTGGTTCTTTCTGAAGACATTGACTTATAAAATCTCGAAATAAGTCGGACCTAAAATTAATTAACGTCACCATCACATAATGCACAATTACATGTACATGTACGTACCAGTTTTGTGGCTCCTGTATGGTGGGTGGGTCCTTCTGGGCTATGTGATACATGGCAGCCATAGCGTTCATGTGAAACAATGGCGGTTTTCTTTCAGCTATGAGGAGATTATAAAAATAAATTGTACAATATCGTACAAATTTCACTTATTTCAACTATATACATGTACATGTACATGTATTATATTATCGTACATACAGGGTTTCCCATAAGATTTTGGTATAGTACTGAGCTTTTTCCAGCTCATGAAGTCTGCTTTTTAGATTGCTCAGGAGAGCTTTGTAGAATCCATGGGGTTTGTCAAAATACATGTACGTGTACATGCAGTTAAAAGAGAATTCTCCACTTTTATAATTTTTCTGATACATATACATGTACTTATGTTATGCAGCAAGTTTGAGCTGATTCCGATCAAGATTGGATTTTTTATGAATTTTAAAAGTTGCTCGATCCTAAAGCAATACATTACATATGTACATGTAAAAAAAGTGCATGACTTGTCAGCTAATGAAGTGTGTCATTTAGCTCACTTACATGTAACATTACATTGTAGGATGCCTTGTGGGAAACCCTCTGTACATGTACATGTACATACATGTACATGTACATACATGTACATGTACATGCTATTGTACATGTACATGTCATACATGTACATTAAATCTCACCCATTTCAATGCAAGTGATGCCGATAGACCAAACGTCCACTTTACCGTCGTACTGACCCTCGTCCATAGCCATTATGACCTCCGGTGCCATCCTACATGTACATGTACATATAACCCGTACATGCATAACGTACAGTGTGCGTACTAAACACTTACCAAAATGGAGTCCCAACAAAGGAATTGGCCGGAGAATATTCACAAGCAGAGCCAAAATCAGCTACAAAAAATAACAAAAATAAATAAAAAAAGACACAACAAATACACATGTACATGTACATACGTACTGTACATGTACATATAGTAGCTATACATGTACATTGTACATCTACATGTACTTATATTACATGCATTAATTACAAGTACTGATACATGTACATGTATATGTATTAATATTTAATACAGTACCTAGTTTGACGCCTCCTCTGTCAGTGAGGAGGATATTGCCAGCTTTGACATCTCTGTGTATCCTACCACTGGTGTGTAGGTAATGTAGACCCTATGGGAAGGAAAAGAAAGAAAGAGAATATAAAATGTACATGTACTGTAGGTTAATTGTCTTACAGTGAGAGCTCCTTTGCAAATTGCACCAATCTCATCTTCTTTGAGGGACGACTTGTGAACTGAAGGAGAGAGAGAGAGAGAGAGAGAGAGGGTCACTTATTAATTTTAAAAGTAATTTACATGTACATTGTACATTAAATTATCAGCTCAAACTTATAATTTCTACACATGTACATGTACATAGTAATAATTTTAAAAAGGAGAATTCTCTCCTAGTCATTTCCGATGAAATTATGTAGTCAAATTTAAGTACATGTAACTTTAAATTGAATTGGAATCAGCTCAAACTTTCTACATAACATACAGTACATAAATAAGAACAGAAAATAAGTACATGTACTGTACATGCAGACATGCACCAGGCAGCCATTTTTGATGAAATATACAAATGTACTAAACTGATTTCATTATTAGATTTAAATTACAGTACAACTCTGTGGACGTGACAAGTACGTGTAATAATTAATTATTGAAAGCATTACTAGACAATGAAACAGTTTAGCAACACAAAAACAAACAATCCTGACTACTAGCCAGGGACTAGTGACATTCCAACAAATAAAACGATGATATTCTATTTTTATTATTATTATGTCAACAAGATGTGAGATCAGCCTACATGTAACAAACTAGAAGAGTCTTTGTTCCAACTGTCTGACATCTAATAGACAATACATGTACATTTAGACTCTTATTTCGTACCTCCTACTTCTCTCTCTCTCTCTCTCTCTCTCTCTCTCTCTCTCTCCCTCCCTTCCTCCCTCTTCCTCTCTCTCTCTCTCTCCCTTTTTTCCTTTCACATGTACATGTACTAACAATCAAATAGCTACTCATTTCTCTTAATTAGACACAGCTGCATGTACATGTACAAACAAGGCAGAGGCGCCATTTTTGACTTCAAACAATTGTCAATGATTATTATCATACAATAACGATGAGATAATTGCTCTCTGAGTGATATGGTCACTGACAATTATGTCGGGACACTACAGCAATAATAAGAGTCACTTTGATGTCAAATATAACTACAAACCATTTTACTACAAATACATGTACATGTAGACACACAATAAAGACTGTTGCATGTGAACTTTGGACTTTAGGCAATTAGAGCGGGTAAGTGAGAGAAGGGGACAGCTGCAATGATTAACACTAAAACTAATGCTGAGTCAAATATAAACACAACTGGACACTTTCACATACACACAGAGACAGCTGGAATGTACACAGCAATCATAATATTGAAATTGTAATAAATCTCACAAACACAAGTGTGTGTGTGTGTGTGTGTGTATGTGTGTATATATGATGATACAATGCTACTTACCTTCTACTACATCTGAAGCAGAACCAATACAGTACTCCATTACAACCTAAAATATAGAGGAAGAAAAAAAGAGGGAGGAGGGAGGGAGGGAGGAAGGGAGGAAGAGAGGGAGGGAGGGAGAGAGGGAGGGAGGGAGAGAGGGAGGGAGGGAGAGAGGGAGGGAGGGAGAGAGGGAGGGAGAAAGGGAGGGAGAAAGGGAGGGAGAGAGAGAGAGAGGGAGGAAGCGAGAGAGAGAGTATATGCCATAAATTCCTTGAATTCACATGTACAGTTATTTACTACACCAGATCAGGGCTGATGTCTAAACTATCATTAGAGTTATGCATATCAAGACAGGGCTGGGTACATATTACATGAACATAATGAACATGTAAATGTACAGTGTTCCTAATAGATAGCGTATTACGTAACTAATAACAGGACATTAACAAGAAACAAACATTAGTAATGAAATACAGTAACGGGAACTGCAGCAGCAATTATAATAATAATAATAACAATATACATTATGGTACTGTAACAATAACATATATATGTACGTGGGACAGCTGCACTGTGATTTAAGGCAATAAAAATGAAAATAACAAAAAAACAATAAGAACTGAACGCTTGGATGAGTATACATGTACATGTACATGTACTAAGATCTGAAATGCCATGCATGCATGGTTATACTGTGACATCATAGACTAATTTTACTGAATGTGCACTTTAATTGGAATAAGTCTTACCCAACAGGTGGAGTCTTTTAGGTAACATCCTTTGAACCCGATAGTGTTCTCATGCTGACACTGCTTGAGGAACTTAACCTCTTTTACTATATCCTGCCATTTCTAAAGGGGAGAGAGGGGGGGAGAGAGAGAGGGAGAGAGAGAGAGAGGAAGAGAGAGAGGGAGGGGAAGAGAGAGAGAGAGAGAGAGAGAGAGAGAGAGAGAGAGAGAGAGAGAGAGAGAAAGAGAGAGATGATCACACACACATACAATATTACACATAGAATAGATGGTAACACGCTGAATAGATAAGGAGGAGACATAGCATAGATGTACCTATCCATATTTGGTATGACAGTGAACACAAGTCTACACGATAGTGTCATCCATAAAACATGAAATGGACATTCCCAGGCACCCCTTACCCTCTATTTATGGACTGAACCTTCTCTCTCTATATCTCTCTCTTTCTTGGCACAGCACTATGTAATGTACTTTGTCAAGTTTAATATGGAGGAAGGGGAATTGAGGGATAGGATGCTTTGCTGCATAGTAATATTTATATATGCATAATTTGTTTCTAATTAGTATATGTAATCCAACCAATTATGATTGCCAAATATCTTGGAAACCAGCCCTAGTTTATGTATATGTACTTTCCCTCTCTCTCTCTCTTCCTCACCTCCCTCCCATCCTCTCTCTGTCTGTCTCTCTCTCTCCTCCCCCTCTCTCTCTCTTTACCTCTATTGCCTGTTTCCCTGAGAACTGCATCTTCTTGATGGCAACAATCTCATCATTATTAATATTTCTTGCCTAAAAAAAGAATAACATAACATACAGTATACCGCTGGCTTCACTAAAACAAATAATAAGACAAAAGGTACAGGTGCTTTCCTTCCTCCCTCTTTCCCAGTATTAATTGTAACGTACATATTATTATTATTATTATTATTATTATTATTATTATTATTGTTATTATAGCTTACGAGTGACCACTATATAGCAGTTACAAATGTATTAATGAGAGTTGTATATCTAATAGTAAGTTACTATGATGAGCGTATGACCAACAGTACAAGTACATGTAGCTACAACTAATTGCTCTATAGTCTACATCTGCAGTAATTATGTGTATCACTCAGCAAATGATCACACAGTCTGTGTCTAAGCAGCAATGTAGTACATAATCAATAATGATGACATACTGTACATTTACATGTACGTGTAGATAGAGGATATGGCAATAGTCGTCAGGTTATGTTAAGAGTCAACAACAACAAACTCACAAACAACAACAAGCAAACAACAAATAAAGACACGCATACCATAAGTAACTATATATACAGTTACAGTGTCATATCAACAATAATACGGACACACAAATACATACACACTCTTATTCAGTAATCAAATAGAATACAAACTGACTGACATACAAAATGATACTTGTCACCTAAGAGCAGAATAGGATACTAACTGTCGTAGCACCATGTTCAAATAATATGTACATGTACACACACTTAAAGATTCAATACGTAGTTGTACATGTAAATGTAGGTGAATCACTATGCATCTTTCATCACTTCTTAAAATACATGTAGATGTACAGTAGATCCACTTGATCATTCTTTCTCCCTTCTCTTCCCTCTCTCTCTCTCTTCCTCAATATTATTTTGTATCGTACAATAGTTGCTACATCTATGCGCCATATTGCATCGAATATACATGTACTATTGTACATGTACGTGTACTATTTTGAAGTTTTGACTTTCTATGGTAGTTGGTGTTTCATTGTTTGTGTCAGTAACTCGGTATTAATTGAGATTTCCTCCACAATTCAAGAGACTGCTATTACTTATCATTTATAATAATACACACACAGACACATGCACGTACATGTACATGTGTATATGTACCAGAAACAGCAATGGACAGTAATAATTGACTAAAAAATTAAACATACTGTAATGATAATAATAATCAAAACTCTATCAAAACTAGCTCCATTTCGTTTTTAAAAAAATCTTTTAAAATCTACAGTCACTGTCATATTTGAATGTAAACAGTGATACATGTAAATGCATGTAAAATCATCCTTTTTTGTACTTCAAAAAAATTTGTACTTCATTTTTTGTTTAAGTACAAAATCCACTTACGTAATAAACAGCTCCAAAGCTCCCATGCCCTATCTCTCTCTGGTCATAAAAGATGGCCTCCGGGTCCTCGTCAGTAAAATACTCGGCTAGTTCGGGATGCTTCGAGAGATTGATCTTCAATGGCTTGTTAAGAGGCATGACTGTATGACAGTTCAAAACAAGTCTTTGAACTCTTTTCTAGCCTCGACGTCACGGTAACAGGTACAAGGGATTAGTTACAGTCCTCCTTTAGTCTTTTAGCAGCTGGGGTATCGCTATAATACACACGAAGAGGAGTTGAATATGTGAATTGTGAAGAGAACCACTCGCCATGAAGTAATAAAAGGAGGACGTTATTTAGTCACGTGACTGGTTATATGGTTATTCATTAATTAAGAGGATCACGTGAGTGGTTATTAATTTCATTCATCCTCCTGTTATGGATGTCTGTTGTCTCTCTGTCCATTAATATCGTTTAACACAAAGCTAGTGTTGATTAGATTCACGGGATGAAACAATGCAGACTGTAAATATCATTGTCTACGTTTTGAATTCAAAAGCAAGCTACTGTTAATAATGCTTTTTGTTCCAATTGAAAAGATGATGAGCATGCAGTAATAATATTTTTTACTTAAATTAGTCTACCAAATGCAATGAAGAGAATCTTAAAAGAGAAAAATGCAGATTCGGCCCATATTAGAAATAGAATGCATCTACTATTATCAAAGACAGGTGTTACAATGGATTATAAGCTGGTTGTCATTATAAAAACTTTTAAACAATGGCAGTTAAATGAAAACCAGCTAGCCATAACTGGATAGCTATAATATATCTATGTAGCTCAGCAGCTAGCATTTCAGCCCCACCTGTCACGTGGGTGGTGACTGAGACACACCTTTTCACGTGGGTGTTTATTTCTATAAAAAATTTTGAAGGAACTCGATAAAACGATATTGGCTGATGACATGTCATGGTTTCCTTTGTCAACTTTCTTTCTCTGTTGCTCCTACTCTTGGGAGGCTCAAGGGCCCAAAAAGATAAGAAAAATGTGCTCTTCGTAGCAGTAGATGACCTCCGTCCAGAGCTAGGCGCCTACGGGGCAGACTATGTATCAACTCCTAACATTGACTCGCTGGCATCCAAATCAATACTGTTTGAAAGGGCTTATTGCCAGGTTGCTGTGTGCTCTCCTTCTCGTGCATCCTTGTTAACAGGACGCAGACCCGACACTAATCATGTTTGGAGGATATCAGACGATGAGTATTGGCGCACAACAAGCAATGCAACTAATGCTACTACCATTCCACAATATTTTAAAGAAAATGGATACATTTCTATTGGGATGGGCAAGATATTTCATCCAGGAGCACCTGGAGGAAATAATGACGTGAGTAATAATTACTGGCATATGATCACACTTAAGAATTATTAGCCTATAAATAACATTATTTCTTTTATTTAATAGGAGTTGTACTCATGGTCTCTGCCATATTTTGAGCCCAGCACACCTAGGAGAATGTTCAATGCCGCGCAAGGGGCAGCTTGGTATAGTTTCAGTAATTTATTCGATAACGATTTCGATGATGGAAAAGTATCGCAAAATGCAATAAACCTTCTAGAGCAACTAAAGCAAAACAGGAGCGATGGAGACAGCAGGCCTTTCTTTATGGCAATTGGATTCATGAAACCTCATCTTCCATTCTATTGCCCTTCGCAATATTATGATCTTTATCCAGGACCTGACGAAATAAAGTTGCCAAATAATCCGGACCCACCTCAAGGCATGCCTCACATAGCTTGGACAGTTTGGAGGGAGATGCGTAATTATTATCCAAGCACAAGCGCCATGGGAGGCTGTACCAGAGTAGCTGGAGTTTCCCTAAACAATCCTAATTGCTCACTGACTTCAAATGAAACGAGGGAAGCAAGGAGAGGCTATTATGCCTGTACCAGTTACGTTGATGCACAAGTTGGAAAAATAATGTCAGCATTAGACTCACAAGGATTTGCTAATGATACTATAGTAGTGCTGTGGGGAGATCACGGGTTTCATTTGGGAGAACTGGGCATGTGGTCAAAGAATACAAACTTTGAAGATGCTACACGTGTTCCATTCATCCTTCATGTTCCTGGTGTAACTGATAATGGAATGAAAACTGATGCACTTGTTGAACTGATTGACTTATTCCCTTCACTGACTGAGCTAGCAGGAATAGATGTACCTCCAATGTGCACTGAGAATAGTCCAAAATCCATTGCTTGTGTAGAGGGTAGTAGTGTGGCACCTTTACTGAAGAATCCAAGCATGGAATGGAAGAAAGGAGCATTTTCTCAATATCCAAGGCCTACGTCTGGCTTGCCTCAGATTTTAGGTCGACCTGAATTTGATGATAATGAGAATGGTGAGAGTGTAATGGGTTATTCAGTACGTGTTGATGATTACAGATTCACTGAATGGTATCGATTCAACCGTACAACATCAACTCCTAATTTCACTGATATTTGGGGTACTGAACTCTATAATCATACGACTCCCACTGTTTTTTTTGATGATGAGAATACCAACCTAGCTAGTCGTCCAAACATGGCTGACAAGGTACAAGAGCTAAGAGCAATCTTACAAGCAGGTTGGAGGGGAGCATTGCCTAATGTAACGACTGATACAACTCCAGCCCCATCAGCTACTCTAAGCCAAACAGCAACACCTTCAAGATCACCCATACCAACCACTGCCGGCCCTGGGGAAGCCTCATCAAAAGGAGCAGGTAACTTGCCAATCTTTGTTATGATTTTGCTATTTTTGTTTATTTTGGCTGTCATATTTTATTAGTAAGATGTTTTTAAGCTATAGAACGTTTATCCATGTACTGTCTCTCCCCAATCATTCTTCATCTTTTATTTATCATAGTCATTCAGTATAAATAATTAATTGAAAATACGTGCGCAACTTACATGCACTATATACTAGCAAATAAGTGGTAATAAAGCCTCTTCACAAGATTAAATCAGCAATGAGGTCGTGAAATAATTTTTTTTAGATAATGATTCATCTGTTTATGACAAAGCCTTCTCAAGTTTTTTGTCTCATACCATACGCCCACATATTAACTGATAGCTGTAATCATTGATCAATGGATAAAGTTTGAATGCATCTTGTGTGAGTCACAAGATCCATGAATAGACTTATTATGCTATCTTGTGACATGGCAACACTCCCCAATTTTCGAAAAACTCTTCCTAGCTGCAGGACAATAACATGGCTCTGGTTTTTGTCAATTTTCTTTCTCTGTTGCTCCTACTCTTGGGAGGCTCAAGGGCCCAAGGAGATAAAAAAAATGTGCTCTTCATAGCAGTAGATGACCTGCGGCCAGAGCTAGGCGCCTACGGGGCAGACTATGTATCAACTCCAAACATCGACTCGCTGGCATCCAAATCAATACTGTTTGAAAGGGCTTACTGCCAGGTTGCTGTGTGCTCGCCTTCTCGTGCATCCTTGTTAACAGGACGCAGACCCGACACTAATCATGTTTGGAGGATATCAGACAATGAGTATTGGCGCACGACAAACAATGCGACTAATGCCACTACAATCCCACAATATTTTAAAGAAAATGGATACATTTCTATTGGGATGGGCAAGATATTTCATCCAGGAGCACCTGGAGGAAATAATGATGTGAGTCTACACTCTGCATGAGCAATTAGTTTTAACATAATGCTATCTACATAAAATCATTCAATTATTTTGTTATTTTCATAGGAACTCTACTCATGGTCTCTGCCATATTTTGAGCCCAACATACCCAGGACCAGGTTCAGTGAAGCACAAGGGGCAGCTTGGTATAGCTTCAGTAATGCACAAGATAATTTTTTTGATGATGGAAGGATATCTCGTAATGCTATAAATCTTCTGGAGCAACTGAAGCAGAACAGGAGCAATGGAGATAGCAGACCTTTCTTTATGGCGGTTGGATTTAAGAAACCTCATCTCCCATTCTATTGCCCTTCGCAATATTATGATCTTTATCCAGAAGCTGATGAAATAGCATTACCAAATAATCCAGACCCACCTCAAGGCATGCCTCAAATAGCTTGGACAGTTTGGAGGGAGATGCGTAACTATTATTCAGATACAAATCCAGTGACAATGGGAAGTTGTACCAGAGTAGCTGGTGTTTCACTAAACAATGCTAACTGTCAATTAACTGCAAATGAAACAAGGGAAGCAAGGAGAGGCTATTATGCCTGTACCAGTTATGTTGATGCACAAGTTGGAAAAATAATGTCAGCATTAGACTTGCAAGGATTTGCCAATGACACTATAGTAGTTCTGTGGGGAGATCACGGATTTCATTTGGGAGAACTGGGCATGTGGTCCAAGAATACAAACTTTGAAGATGCTACACGTGTTCCATTCATCCTCCGTGTTCCTGGTGTAACTGATAATGGAATGAAAACTAGTGCACTTGTTGAACTGATTGACTTATTCCCTTCATTGACTGAACTAGCAGGAATAGATGTACCTCCATTGTGTACTTCTAATAGTCCAAAATCCATTGCTTGTGTAGAGGGTAGTAGTGTGGCCCCTTTACTGAAGAATCCAAGCATGGAATGGAAGAAAGGAGCCTTTTCTCAATATCCAAGGCCTACGTCTGGCTTGCCTACAATTTCAGGTCGGCCTGAATTTGATGATAATGAGAATGGTGAGAGTGTAATGGGGTATTCAGTACGCGTCAATGATTATAGATTCACTGAATGGTATCGCTTCAATCGTACTACATCAACTCCTAATTTCACTGATATTTGGGGTACTGAGCTCTATAACCATACCAATCCCACTGTTTTCTTTGATGATGAGAATATCAACCTAGCTAGTCGTCCAAACATGGCTGATAAAGTACAAGAGCTAAGAGCAATCTTACAAGCAGGTTGGAGAGGAGCATTACCTAATGGAACTACTGATACCACTCCCACCCCATCAGCTACTCCTATACCATCAGTAGCCCCAACAGGTGAATCCTCATCAGCAAGAGCTAATTTGCCAATTCTTTCTATAGTTGCTTTATTTTTGCTTATTTTTGCTATAATATTTTAACTTTTTTAAAGCTGTTATGCTCTGCTGTATCTGTTTGCTTTTTTATCTGCTCACTTTGCTATTATTAGTTTTATCTTTGTATAAATATACTGCAACAGATTCACGTGCTTAATTGCTAACTGTCATCACTGCTGGTACAGTAACAACATCTAAAGCAAGTGGACCTAGGCCTATAAATTTAAAAATCAACTACACAGCACACACACACATGTACAAAAAAGTAACTCGAGAAAGCAATAAAGATGTTCCATAAGAAGAAACCAGCTCCAATGTCTGGCAGTAATCCAGAGCCAGTTGACATTACACCGGGGGAAGATGATCCAAAGCATAAAGTCAAAGTATTCCTGTCACCAGATCACTCCATCAAGCCGGTAGCTGACTTCATCAGTTCAGCATCAAAATCAATCGACATGTACATACCAGGTTAGCTGAGATACTTTAAACATTACACCCAATGATTAACATGATATTTAACGTTTGTATAGATGAGCTCGACTAGCAAAATTTTTTATTTATTAATAAAATTGTTGCTGGTGGAGCTCATGATCATCTATGCAAACATTATTTTGGACACAGCAAAAAGCCTGTTCTCTATCATTAATATAATATTTGTTTGTTTTTATTTTATAGAATGGAAGACATGGACGTATCCAGCCAATGCTCCACTCGCTCCACCAATGTGGTGTGCCGAAACAAACCCGATATTCCAATGTCTAGTAAATGCCGGAGTCAAGAAAGTCAAAATGAGGTTTCTGACACATGGGCCACAGAAACCGTTCGTGCCTTTTATGTGTGACATATGGGAGTGGTTCATAATGCAAGACGCAAAAGTGAGCTTCATTTTGCCACAGATGCTGACAATTGGTGGCATCATGATGATCATTGATGGAGAGAAGATACTGATGACGACCATGAGTGGTAACGAAGCCTCTTTCATTTTCAATCGAGAGAGCACAATCATCTTGGAGACGAAATGCGACCAGGTCGTAAAATTATTTCAAGACACATTTGAAAACGATTTCTCCAAGGGAACGCCATTTGCACCAACAAAGAAAATGATACTAAACACAAAACCGCCTCAACTTGATCCAGCTTCTGTGGTTCTCACGCAAACCTTCATATTCCCGAAAATAACGTCTAAGCCGCAGCCACCCACTGCACTGGTTAAATCTGAAATGGATGTGAACATATCGAGCATAATGGAAGCAGATGATGTGGAGTATACACTAGCAATGGCAGGACCAGAGCTTGCCGAGTGGAATATACTAAGAGGAATCAATTCGCTGAGCTTTGTTCAAGTTGCAACTCCCAGTCTGACCAATAGTAAAGTATCTGATATGATACTCACTGCTTATGGGCAGAATGCATCAACTTCTGTCAACATAGCTTACATGCTGGTAGATAAAGATGAAGCAAAAAAATCTGATGTGAGCTAGAGTCTGCATGTAAATGCATAAGCTTTCTCAAAAGCATTACTGCCCCTAGCTTAAATTTGAATAATAAACTGTTTGATTAATGCTGAATGATTATGATATTGAAATAATAGATGTACATTTTTTGTAGGATAATATTTTAGATCTCTACAATAATGGAATGAATTATCGAATATTCAGAGGACCATTGTATGATGAGGACAAGAAAACAAAGATGTACTTCACTCATGGTGGACAGAACTATATCAACACAGGCAGTACTTCAATGTACTTCATGACAGGTAAGACTAAGAGAAATAATAATTATTGCTAAAAATAATTTTTTATGTAAATTTTTTATCAATTTACAGGTACTCTGTCGGATGATGATTTGAACAAGCATCGTAATTTCTACGTTTCTTTCAATTCAGCAAAATTGTGTACAAAGATTGCCAAAGTTTTTACTGATGATCAAAGATATGCTAAATTGTGGAATCCAACAACTAAAACTGCAGTTGGACCAGAGGAAAAATAAAAAAATTTTATCATGCATAGTACATACCTACATGTATAATACATACATGCAAGCAAAATATTACAGTTTAAAAATTTAATATTGTTTTTACAAAATAATTGAAAATATGCGTGGGCGGGCTCAAAACAAAAGGATTACTATTAAGTATACGGAAGTTATGCGAAAGTGTTACTGCGTTTCCGTATATTCTAGGCGTGGCATTAATTAAAACAATGGCGCTGGTGATTCCTACAGTTTTGGAAGAAAACTTTACACAAGCAGACGGAGGAAAGGGACAGAACATTAAAGACGCCTTTTCATTTAGCTTGGACAAGGTATGTGGCTCCTATGGTCTCTTGGTATGTTTTTTTTTAATTTGTTAGGTGGATAACTTGTACCAATGGGATTCCAGTAAAAGCCTATTCAAGTTCTCCTTCACAGAAAGAGGTGTTGCTTATAATGAAAAAGAAACCTCTACTCAATTAGCTGAGACAAGTTTCCAAACTAGCGGAAAGACTGACCTCCAATTGAAATTTGACCCCACGCCTACTCTGAAATGGGGCATTAATTTTGTGGGCGTGGTCAAGGTGATACATTCAAACGGAGATGAAAATGTTCTGTACATGCCTGGTACTAGGACGTACGACCCTGCTGGGATCACAGGAGATCCCCATGCCAGTGAGAGGATAGGCCCTAGTTGCTCACGTACTCAGGCCGCAATAACGCTGAGTCAGTTCATGGCTGTTCGGCTTGGGGCCACTTTGGAGCAGGTGAGGGCTGTTCAGGAAGCTTGTCGGCCACTCGTTTCACGTTATCATGGTCGTATTGCCTTGTTTGATTGGATATTTCTTCAAATACAGGAAACTGTTTTTGATAAAAGGTATACTAATTTAATTAAATACTAATTGAATATAAATTATACTAATTACTATAAGAAGGATTCTGTTATGCATGTAAAATTTTCTAAAAAATCTAATTTTGATCGGAATCAACTCAAACTTTCTACACAACATAAGTACATGTATATGCATCAGAGAAAATTATAAAAATGGAAGAACTCTCTCCTTTGCATTTTTGTCGAAATTTGGCTCAAGACCTTTATACAGGGACTTTGGCTCGATTTTGGAGCAACTTTAAAAATTCATAAGAAATCCAACTGTGATCGGAATCAGTTCAAACTTTCTACACAGCATAAGTACATGTATATACATCAGAAAAAATATAAAATCAGAGAATTATCTCCTTTGCATTTTTGTCGAAATTTGGTCCAAGACCATGTACTATAGTACAGGGACTTTAGCCCTATGTTTCTAAAATGTGTCAAAATGATCTTAAAAGTATTTCTCTCCCTTCATTTCTCTTTTATTTCATTAGAGATGTCACACCTTACCCTGAATATCTAAAGCAACTAATGCGATCCAATCTTTTTGAGCTTGACGACAAGCGAGACCACACTCGCTCCTATCTCATTTCGTACAACGAAGGAAATGCAAGACCACCTGTTCAGTATTATCGTAAAGTTGAAGCGAAAGATAAAGTTGGAGACATTCTGAGTGCTGACGATTTGGAAGAATTTTACAAGATCACACAGTAGACATAACTAATATCAGTCTTGTAGCTATAGCTTTTAGAGATCATGAATTTTTAATGAAACTATTTAAATAAATCCTACAGGTTTACTTTCATATTTTTTAAATTTTTATAATTATTGTCAATAAAATAATTTGAATAACACAAAACCATTAAAGTAATATTAGCTTGCAAGTTAAATATATGCGTCTTTTGCAAGTATATAATGTAGAAATAAATGTTGAAGAGTATTAATGGAGAGTAACATAAGTGATGAATAAAATGTCAGTTAAATAGGCGAGCCTTTACAATCAATCGGCATACTTTCTTGATTCCAAAGTCTGTATTACAAAGTCATACTCAGTCTTGGTCATTGGTAGAACCGAGAGTCTTTGCCTACGAATGACTGAAAGGTCTTTAAGGGGGCCATTAGTGGCCAAATGCTCTCTCTGATATGATCTTAGTTCAGAGAGGGTTATTGGTCTTTGAAGACGACGTACAAACTTGACGTCAACTGAGAACCATCTTGGATCTTCTGTGGAGCTTTTCGGATCAAAGTAAGGATGACTGGGCTCAAACTGCGAAGGATCTGGATACGAGGCCCTTACGATTGTCACAAGACCCACAAAACCAGGGTCTTTACAACTACTGTGATAGAAAAAGGCAATATCTCCGACTTTCATACAGAGAATGTTCATTTTCGCCTCGTGATTTCGCACCCCATCCCAGATTGTAGTCTGTCCTGGCTCACTCATCAACTGGGAGAGACTATAACTGACGTCCATGCCTTTAACCATTCTAACATTGGGCTCGGATTTCATGATCCAGTAGTTCCTATTAATGCCCTCATCGTCTCTAAAATGAAGCCTTTTCTTTGATTTTGGCTCTGATTCATCATCTTTTATCGGTGAAGGAGGTGACTGTGGCGAAGAAAGAATGTCTTCTTGTTCTTCTTTTGGCTGAATTTCTTGCTGTTGCTTTCTTCTCTTCTTCCCAGGCATTTCCACGTGGTATAAATACCACCAGCTCGTAATGCGCATGTTCATTATTGACTCCATTGCGCATGCGTATGACGTTCACCCGCGTTCTTTATTCTGATTGCACGTGGGGTAATTTTCAAGATGGCAAGGAAGCACGCAAGGGAAGATTGGAGAAAAGCTGTAAAAAGTCTTCAAGAGGGTCCAGACGAGTCTCTCGAGTCCATGAAGAATCTCAAATATCCTATAGACGACCTAGAAGTGCAAGTAAAAGAACAATCATAACTTTCCTTTTATTAATTAAAAACTAAATTTATTTTATAGGATGTCACAAGTTTCACACATCTACTACTATTGACCACACCCACTCTTCAAAAACCTGAGCGAGTTGAGATGTGGTCTAAAGTGATCTATTCAATCTGTACGGTACAAACGAAAGCCTATCAACGACCTTATATATCGAAAGATGTTGCGAACAGTTTAACCGATAAAATGTTGTATATTTTAAGAAATTGTACCGATCCAATAGTCTTATCTGCCAGGCAGGACAACAAGACTACTTATCCAATTGAGCTACTTTATGCCTTGAGCTCTCTCGTGAAATACTCTAACAGGACCAGTCCCGTAAGATCATGCTTCTCGTGATGAATCACACTTAGGACAAATTATTAAATGCTTATTTTAATTATTGTAGATTAGAAAAATTTCACGTTAAAAATATGTATGATTGTTCTAAAATTCACATTGTTTTATTGTATCATTTTAGTATTAGAAAATACCTAATTTACATTTGTTTTAATTTTTAGTTTTGGGAGGAACTGGTGAATATTGAGAGTGGCATATTGATCAAGATTGCCGCTCCTGATAAAGAAATTAGAATTCGAAGGGCGTCGCTTGATTACATTGATTCAATATGCCAGCAGTGAGTTGAAAATTTATTGGGTGACCCATGAAATTTTATTAGACGGTGTCTCTCAATTTTTCAGTGTTAGTTTATCAGTGGAATCTATGGTGAAACTGATCGATAATTTATTAAAACTGTTTGATGGCAGTTTGTTAAAATTGCTTGGTAAGAAGGCAGCTGCTGCACAAGATGAAGAATTACATGCACTTCTTTATAAGGTAGAATACTAGTAATAGTATATTGTATAGTACTCAAATTATATTTTGGTTATTGAAATCCTCAACATTGAATTTACTAATAATGGGCATACTTAGTAGTGGCTATGAATGATACAAATACTGTACATGATAATTTATTGGCGAGAGTAATATTTGGCGAATTTGCCTGTGGAAAGAAATTGGTGGATTTTATATTGGGGATTTTGTGCCGCGTGCCATTGAGCATACTCAGATTGAAACAAAAAATTCAAAAATCTTAAGTGCCTCATTAGTATATACTCTACATATGGTATTTTATTCTCTACAATTTCTCCCTCCCTCTCTTTCTGTGATAGCTTCAAGTGTCCATTCTCCGTGTCCTCCATACTATTCTCCCTCAGTTTGACTCATTTTCCGTTCACATCCTTCCGTCGCTCCTGGCGACACTCAAAGTTGCCATGACAACCGGTCTCCCCGGACACCAGATCCCATTGAGGATGCGCCCGTTAGAACCTCACCCGGACGTAGGTAGGTGTGGTCGGAATTATGGGCGGGGCAAAGGAATTATTATTAATAGGATACGTGGATGTTGGTTATCAGGCTGCAAGTGTGGCTGGTCCTAAACAGAGCAAGATTAGACGAAAGATTCATTCTGATCATCCTTTTCCTGGCCACGCCTTCATTAGTAGTGACAGTGGGTCAGGGGAGGGTAGAGGTGAAGAGAGAGGTCAATGTTTGTCTGGTGCATCAGATTCTGAAATGTCTGATGGCGAAATTACCAGCAGTAGCTCTCAAATTAGGTGGGAGATATTACTCAATAGCTAGTTTGTATATTATTATGTAACTTCTACTTGTTTATCTAAAAGTTATTATTATTAAACATTAAAGAAAAATCAAGCTTATTACTATTATTATTTTTGTTATTATTATTGTTATTATTATTATTATTATAGGCAGGCTACTGTTAAGATTAGGCTAAGAGCATTAAACTGTTTGAGTACAATATTTCAGGTATTATTATCATCATCGTCATTTTTATCATTAATTTGTCTTATTTTATTTCTTTACAATAGTCTTTGGAGAGACAGCCTACATTTTCATACGGGTTCTCATTCCTACCTCATGACACGCCTACTTCTAATTCTCCGCCTTCTATCCTCACTTGCCTCAATCAAGATAATTCACATAAAGTAGATTTATTTTAATTGGAATATAATCTTAACTCTCTCTCTCCCTTTTCATTTTCTTTAGTGTCAAAGTGCTGCAATCTCTGTCCTTATGTCGATATTAGACAACTCAAAACCTTTTTTGGCAATGGCTAGTGACCCGTATGTATAATAATTAATGTATTGTATGATCACATTTTATTATTTTGTGTATTTAAGGTCTTCAGGACCCACCCATCCCTTCATATCGTACTCAAATAAACTTGGGGGCGTGATAAGAGAGCTTCATCGCTCACTCCTTGAGTTTATTTCAAAGGAGAAGAGAGCAACGTTGTTAACACAGGCAGTTAAAGTAAGGTAGCTGCTGGTGACTGTGTCTGTGTATCTCTCTCTCTCTCTCTCTCTCTCTCTCTCTTCTCAGTGTTTGGCTATATTAGTTTCTAATACGTCATATCACAAACTCACGACTTCGTACATAAAAGATATATTGTTATGTCTTGGATCTATCATTTCAATAAATCGTTAGTTAGTCTGGTTTATATTAATGCCATTGATTAGTAAAGACTTTCAGCTGACTTTGAAAAATGAGTATAATAATTATTCAAGAAAATTGAAAAAGGCCAAATTTGTATTAAAACTACATGTCTGTATAAAGTTAAAGCTTTTCTGATGAATAATTTTCGAGCTATTAAGATTTTTAAAAAGAGCCAATTTTTGAAAAAGGCAAAGGCTATAGCCCATGGTTTTTTTGTAAAAAAAAATGGCTCCAAAATTACTACCATTTTAAATTACATTTCTTTGATACGTACTCCTTATGTAATCTATGGAGCTAATTCCCATTTTTAATTTCTTTAGTTCATTGTGCTTTTCCTTTAGAAACTGATGTGTCGATTGCTTGTCTTACCTGCTATGGTGCTCTCATTTCTCTCTCTCTTCCATTGGAAGACTTGGGAAAGTCCTCGTCGCCTCGTTGTGAGATGGAGGCATGGCTTGAAGAAGGCCCTAAGGGTAAGCTTTGGATTTTGGATCATTGTGTTCAGTTAATTACGCAAAAAGGTAATTTGTTATTTTTAGTAACAATATATTATAACATTTCTGTCATTTTGTATATTGACAGACACAAAGCAGTCGTTATTGATGGAAGCTATTCAAGTCCTCACAGCTCTTGTCAAGTTCTATTTCCCTCAGATTAGGTGGGTGTGGTTGTTTCTATGAATACTAACATGTACATGCATGCATGTAGGCCTAAATGGAAAGAACTTGCTAATGTTTACTTTGATTGTTTGGTCAACAAACCAGAGCCAATCCAGCTTCATGCATTGAAGGTATTTCTAATTGTAATCATTTGTTTTAATTATTGTAATTTATTAATTGGTTGGTATAGTTTCTTGATGAAATCGGGCGTACATTAGCAACAAGACAAGACATGTCTGATGTGAGTGAATAGTTACTCCTATGTGCAGTGTATTTAGAAAAATGATCATAACTTGAAAAATTTATGTCGGAATCAGCGTAAGGATATCAATATGCATCAGAAAATGTAATAAAAATTGGGGGTGATTTTGGAGCAAATTTTAAAGAAAAAACCATGGGCTATTGTACAGAGTATTCTATAGAAAATATCATACGTGTATGTTTTTATTTTCTTCTGCCCTTCCTCTCTCTCCCTCTTCTTTCTTAGGAGATTGGTTCTATTATGGAGTATTGGGAAAGACTGTTGTCCATTCAGTCACCTTCACTCTTACAATGGCTTCAAGACACTACTTGCCCTCTCTCCTGCTCTCACAGCTGCTCTGTCCTAGCTACAATAGGCAATACTCCAATGAGCCACCTTTCAGAGGTAATAATAAGTTATCTTCATAACAATTTCATAATATCCTTAAGGAGACAAAGAATCGCGTGCTACCTTTGCTTCTAAACCTCAGTAAGTACTCTAACCCATCTATCAAGGTATGTAGTACATTTTTGACTTGTTACCTTTAATAGATTATCATTCCTTCTTCCTAGTCTAGTGCCATTAGGACCCTTGGTATATTCAGCCAGTATTCAAGTCAATGTTTTGATGCTACTTTCATACTTGACGTTTGTGATAGCATCACTAATGGACTCAATTTAAAAGAGGTGGTTGCTGTTCGTATCCAAGCCAGCTGGTCAATTGGGAACATGACAGACTCCTTGATTCATGAGGAAGGGCATAGAGCCAAGATCCTTTTGTTCTATGAGACTCTTTCTAAATCTGTGGTTGTTGCAATGGGAGACATTGAGAAGGTTGGTATTTGAGAAATTAGTAAAATTGATGTTTTTTAGGTGAAGGTAAATGCTTTTCGTGCTGCTGGTAATCTCCTTCATGTCCTCACTGATGAAAGTATCAATTATTATTATTTATTATTTATTATTATTATTATTTATAGTATATTTAATGTGTGAGCATAGTGTGATAAACATGTGCTCTAGATTGGCTGCTTCTGTTAATGTTGGCATAATGAAAGGCAGATGGAATGCTTGCTATGCTTGTTATAATGCTTTCACTAATCCTTCCTTTCTAAAGAACTGCTCTCAGCCAATGGCTAGTAATCTCCATTGATAGTATTTCTTCATTTAAAAGCTTGTCTCTTTAGCTAGGAATGATTGAGTCTCTCTGTTCTGCTGTAGTCACTTGCAAGAATTTTAAAGTAATTGCATGGTCTTTTAGTACTAAATGCATGTACATTGTATTTTGCTCCTGTAGGTGCGTACAAATGCTGCTTTGGCTCTTGGTGGTCCTTCTTCTTACCCATCCTTTGAAGTTTTAGAGAATATATGGGACACTGTATTGAAAGCTATTGAAAATAGCGAGGACCAGCCAAACTTTGCAGAATACCAGCAGACTAGCTCTTTACGCATGCAGGTTATTGATTAGGCTGGAGATTGTGGCCTGTACAGCTATGGGATTTTAAGTTTTTCCTGTCTTCTGTAGTTATGTCAAGTGTTTTGTAAGCTGATTAATACAATGGAGAATCCATCAGGTACCATTAGTAAGTCTCCTCCTTCAGAGAAGGCCCTGGAACTGTTACAAAAGCCAATTAAAGAGGTCTGTCTTTTTATGATATTTCTATTGAAGCTTATATATGACTGAATAGATTATTGAAAGCAGTGATGTGCATTCTGAAAAAAGTAAGTTTAAAGCCAGGGACTTATGTTTTTAATCTTCTCTTTAAATAGAGGAGTTGATAGATTTGACTGTTAAAAGACTAAAAGAAAGCAATGACTGCCTACAGCAAGAGGAAAAAGAGTCGCTCAATCAAGAAGACATTCTTACAACTCTCATTTCATCTTTCAATATCTCTACTCATGACCATTCTGCACTCTTTGGTGCAAATCAGTGTGAAAGCAATATGTCATCATGTTGAACTATAGTATATATTTTTCTAATTAGATGTATAAGTGCATGTGTAACTTTAAGGAAAATTAGTTGTTTATTTAGTCTACTTACTTGGCAGGCTCTCTGCATCAAATGTGTAAAAATATTTGACCATAAATGCAAGTCTTAACTGATTTGTGGTTGCCTTCTCTTTTAGGACAAAGTCTATTGTTGACAGGCTTCAGTTGTGTTCTTGCTGACAAAACAAGCAACACTGATGCTAGTGGGGTCCAGTGCTATTAATTATGAGCTCTCAATTTAGTGCTCGTAAAAGAATTATTTATAGTTTATAAAAGACTAAGTTAATTAGGTGAAGTTGTTATCACTTGTAGCAGTGAAAGATGAAGAAGATGATCATACTAGTTCTCTTGTTGTATTTCATTCATTTTGGTTAGTTACATTGTTCTAAACACAGTTATATGTCTTACTGTTTAGATGGAGTGGAAGGAACAGCTATTATAACATCACTTGGTTGTGACTCTGGAAACAGTCTCTCATCGCAATTAATTCTTGGAAGAGAATACACTATGTATTGTACAATAACTGGATCAAATGAACCACCTGTTGTTGTTTGGACTTCACCTAATGGACGTTCTCTTACAGTTTCTGAAAATGACTGTGTGGCTTTTTTGGGTGTTTTCTCTGCTAGGTTTGTAAGATCAGATGGAAACTCAATCACATCAAGCCTAACATTTACTGCCACTGCCTCTCTTGATCAAATAGTAATAGGCTGTCAGGATACCAATGGAGTTTCAGAGGATGAATGTCGTATACAAATTGGCAAATGTAAGTATCTAGACTAGTAGTTCGAGCATAATCTTGATCTATATTTTTAGCTTCAACAGTGTTTACCACATCAACTAGTGGGTCTACTTCAACTGCCACAGTATGTTATAGTGGATCTACTTCATCTATATCTACCGCATCAACTAAATATGGATCTACTTCAACTGTATCTACCACATCAACTAGAGATGGATCTACTTCAACTGTATCTACCACATTGACTAGAGATGGATCTACTTCAACTGTATCTACTACATCAACTAAAGATGAATCAACTAGATCTACTTCAACTGTATCTACCACATCAAGTAAAGATGAATCTACTTCAACTGTATCTACCACATCAAGTAAAGATGAATCTACTTCAACTGTATCTATGATATTAACTAGAGATGGATCTACTTTATATGTATCTACCACATTAACTAGAGCTGGATCTACTTCAACCGTATCTACCACATTGACTAGAGATGAATCTACTTCAACCGTATCTACCACATTGACTAGAGATGGATCTACTTCAACTGTACCAACCTCATCGACTAGAGATGGAATTACTTCAATGGCCTCAGTTGGACTTGGAACTTCTTTAGCTTTGACTACTCTACCTATAGTTTGGTCTACAACTTCACAAGCTATTTCAATCACACCATTTGCAACAAGTACTGTTTTACCAACACCTGGTAAGACTCCATGTTTTATTGTGAGCTTTCCATACTAACTTCACTTACATTTAGGTGAAAGAAATAAGATTAACATCATTGTCATTATTTCTGTGGTAGCTATTGCTATTGTCATTGTAATAGTCATTATTGGTATTTTCCTCCTGTCATTATGTATCTGTAAAAAGCTGCTATTTAAAAGTAAATAGTATAAATACAGTTGGATTTTAAATTTGTTTCATTGCACTTTGTATAGGTTATGGTGATTCACACAATCCCAGTAACACTGTTTGTCATATCTATGATGATATCAAGCCTAGTGTATGGGCTCAATCATTTGATAATGTTAAATTAAGCACTAATGCTGCTTATGGTCAAATATTAGGAATCCACAGTGAAGCAGCTCATTCTAATAACATAACAACATCAGCTAATGCTACTTATGGTCAAGTATCAGGTACCAGCAGTCATTCTACTAACATAGCAACATCAGCTAATGCTGCTTATAGTCAAGTATCAGGTACCAGCAATCATTCTACTAACATAACAACATCAGCTAATGCTGCTTATGGTCAACTATCAGGATCAATAGAGAATGATGACTACATTTAATCATGAGCTCCTGATTTAATGCATAAGCTATAGAACATGTTGTGTAGATAAAATAATAACTTGCAATTACATTTTAAAAACCTTTCAAGAAAGCATGAAGCAAATAATAATGATAATTATGCATACAATATTATGAATTAAATTAATAAGAGGATAATAATTAATTGATACCATTCATCATTATCTCTGTTTGCTCATCCAGTCATGATATCTGTCCATTGCTGCATCAATTAACAGAAGCAACTGCCCAAGTAGTTTTTCCTCTGAGTCTGAAGTCAGTTGCAACTTGAACTCATTTAAGAGTTGCTTGTCTCTAAAATCCTGTATACATTGAGCCATTCTATGGACCTGCATTAGAAGATAAAACATTTAATACTGAAACAGGAAGAAAAGCATCATTGTAACCAAGAGCAGATGATAGCTCTTGTTGTAACTAATAATCCACACTCTTGTTTTTTACAGTAATCCACATTAGTAACAGCAAAAGTATTTTTTCTAGCTGCCACTTTGCAATTCCCACTAGCTCAATTTCATGCTCAACCTTTCTGATAGTGTCCATGGTTATTTTCTTTTATATTCTTTGTACCTTTTGCTCCAGCTGCTGATTAACAACAGGGAAACAAGCCCAGAAGTGTCTCAGTAGCTCTCCCAGTGAACGCTGATATCGACAGAGTGATTCAAACGATGAAGGACTGATAGAAGAGACAGCTGCTGAGGAGTCCATATTAACTAATGATCCACCAACCATTAAATGTTTACTGGCGGACTGTGCTTGTGAAGGTAAGAGAACTGGAGTCTGTATTTAAAAAATTAATTGGGCAACCAGTCAAAATTTTTAACTGCAGCTATTTCTTACTTGTTGGGATTCTTGTGATGCTGTGTAGAGGTAATGAGATGCAAGGGATACGAGATCTGTTGGGGGCGTGTCTGCTATCATGTGGGCAGGGCCGATAGCTAACTGGAGCGAGCTTCCATTCCTATTTTCAGGAGTTTGGCTTGCATTACCTGCTGCCCTATACAAACTGGTTCAACAGGTTTTTGAAAAGTGTTTTCTTACTCATCCGATCGGATAGCATTAAGTACTAGTGCACTGTGTTGATTGCAACGTTGGAGTAGCTCCTTATCAACTTTTAGGACAGAGTCTTCTAAAATAACATCCTAAAATAATTGAAAATTAAGTTTAATCATTACTTTGTGATTGTATAATTTGTTACGTATACATGCTTTTATTTTGTGTGTAGAAAGTTTTGAGCTGGCTCAGTCAAAATTGGATTTAATTCCCTGTACTATAGTACAGGGTCTCCGGCCAAATTTTGCCAAAATTAAAAAGGAGAGATTTCTCCATTTTTATCATGTTTCCTGATGCATATACATGTACTTATGTTGTGTAGAAAGTTTGAACTGATTCCGATCAAAATTGAATTTTTTTACAAATTTTTAAAGTTGCTCCAAAATCGGGCTAAAGTCCCTGTACTATAGTACAGTGATTATAGCCAAATTTTGCCAAAATTGAAAAGGAGAGATTTCTCCATTTTTATCATGTTTCCTGATGCATATACATGTACATGTACTTATGTTGTGTAGAAAGTTTGAACTGATTCCGATCAAAACTGAATTTTTTACGAATTTTTAAAGTTGCTCCAAAATCGGGCTAAAGTCCCTGTACTATAGTACAGGGATTATAACCAAATTTTGCCAAAATTGAAAAGGACAGAATTCTCCATTTTTATAAGTTTTTCTGATACGTATACATGTACTTATGTTGTGTAGAAAGTTTGAGCTGATTCCAATCGAAGTTAGATTTGTTATGAATTATTTAGAGATGCCATAAATGCAAGTCTACCATTTTCGTAAAAATTACTAGGAGAGAATTCTATATTTTTATAATTTATCTGATACATATACATGTACATGTTCTTAAAAAGTTTGAGCTGATTTTGGACTTTTTAGCCATTTGCAAAAGCCTAATAGCAGCATATTACTAAATTCTCTCTCTTCCTCTAACTTCAAGTGGAGCATCACTCTCATGTATCAGTAAACCATCATCAGTCTTTGGCTTATCTTTAATTGCTAAAGAAAAAAAAAACAAAAAAACCATCAATACTATTGTTATCATTAATTTGTTACCTGTTATATCTTGTTCTATGCATTCATGAAACATGCTTGAAGACGACTGCCCCCCTGACGATGACTGGGGCAAACGGTTCCGGTGAAATTTATGAGATTGAAAAAACTGGACCCAGAATTGCTCTTCAGTTAACTATGACACAAAATGACATCGTCAGAATGAGTGGGCGTGCAGACATACTTTATCAGGTACTAATTGCGAGTGCTTCTCTTTTACTATGAAAAAAATTTCAATTATTTTAATTATTACCAGGTGCGCCAATCTATATTATTTATCATCATCAATCACTAAAAATTATTACTAGTATTATGTTACAATAAAAGGATGTACATAAATTCAAGTTTACTTATTACTACTACCATATTATTACCAGTGGGATAAGTTCTAAATATATTCTCAATGATATCAGTTGAAAGTTGATACTGGACAGTATTGCAACCAGACACAGCCTCTATATCTACCTGCAGGTGGAGAATACAAGTTACCATTATGCATTGTGTATGTGATGGGGATAGTACTAGGAATGCTGAAGGTAAGCCTGATCGCTGCTGCTGATCATAATTTGATTTCTAAAAGAGCGAGAGAGAGAGAGAAAAGAAATGATTATAAGATGGGGAGAAGCTGCATATATACAGCTAACTTGGTGATTAGCCCAAAATTCTTCAGCTGTTATGATGCCAGAGACAACCATGTCTTTATAGAGTGTATATAAATCGGCATCTTGCAATAGCCTCCATTTAGCTTCTAGCTCGGGATTATTGACCTGAAGGAGTAGTAAAAACAAAAAAATACAAAACAAATAAATGATTAATTTTACATGTACAATGTACGCAACATGATAAAGCGAAAAATAGGCAATAATAATAATAATAGTAATGTTTAAATTGTTTACCTGTACTGCATTTGCTTTGCTGATACACTGTACAAGTTGTTCAGAGACTCGACTTCTGGCCTTCTTTGGGTCACTCCCAGTGTAATGGAAATTATAAGTGCTAGAATCACTCAGCACCAGCTGCATCTGCACGCTAGAGCTACCCTCTTTGCTAATCTTGTGACCTGACATTGAAAGCAACACTTAAATCATGCAGTTTGAGTTTCCCCTCACTCTTAATTGATAAGTAGGGAAGGTTCACTGTCATTTCAGAGCTGTAGCCTTCACGGAACCACGCAAACCTAGTCTTTGTCATAACAATGCTCCCGTCCTGCTTCTTGTGTCTCACATTATTCACAACTAAAAGAGTTTCTTCACCACTCATCTCCACATGTCCAGTCCTGAAAGGGTTAAAAGCTTAAATTAAAACTTCCCCACCCACATGCCTTAATAACTTTTAATTGATTTTTTGAAAATAATAATTAATTTCTCTTTCATAATTCAAATTCAAAACCGTCTTAAAAGACCATTTTGTGCGGGTATTGTCCATGAGAGAGAGAGAACTTGTGACGTAGGTACGACTTGAGACACTCTTCCTTTCCGATCACTTTCGAGAGCTGCTTATCCACCGCCTTCTGATCTTCCTTCCTCTCGCTCGTAACCTTGTAACGCTGCACAAGAACAAATAAACTCAATACAAAATAAGGAGAGATAGTTTACGTTTTCCTTGTCCTCAAATATACTCGACTTCTTGCCGCCTTTCTTTGTCACTAGCCGTTTTCTCTTGAAGTATTCGTCGTTCAAGCGAGCCGGGAGGGTCACTCCAGACACATCGACTTTAGTTTGAGTAGCAATGACGAAGGCCTGATTCACGCGTCTTAGAGGAACCCGATTGAGACCATAGGGACCTTAAAACAAACAGAGATGGAAGTTAATTTCTTATAGATGAAGTTAATTTGTTCTAGTTCACTTTAAATGTACATGTACTTGGTGGGTTTTAAAATGGTGATTCTTGTACAGGCAATGACCTGCAATTTAAGAAAGGATTATAGACTGTTTGTTCTGTTCATTTTGAACACATGTCATGATTAAGGAATGCCTTTTGTATTAGAAAACACTCATTTCACAAAAATTGAGATCAAAATTAAAATACTAGTTGCTATATGACATTTGATTGCAAATATCCATAATAAAGTGTTAAATGTTTATAGATGTACCTGTCACTAGTAATAAACCTGATCCAAGTTGCTTGAGGAATATAACGCGTTTCCCTGCGTGTCTACCGACCAACAGGATGAGGACAGTCCCTGGGGTAATGCTCTTCCTCAGGCGACATGGTCTGGGCTTGGTACGACGTCTTAGCTTCCTAGGGGTGTCTTCTGAAGGAAGCCATTTTCTCTATAAACAAAAGAAAAAACTAAGTTAATTTTCTATTTTATAAAATAAAAATAACTAGCTATATTGTACGTACTACATAGCATAATAATATCCCAATCCACTACTACCAACTAAAGTGTTACTAATGAATGTTAATCTTACAGATTTCTTCAACAGTATCATTCTTTTTCCACCATTTTTCTCTCCGCCCACAGGCTTTATCTTGAAATACGTCCTCTTCTCGACCTTCTTTTCAGTGTTGAGGTTCTTTTTCAGATAATTCCCTCTCCTCCTGTACATAGCACAGCGGCCATAGCGCCAGAACCCTCCAGGAAGAAGCCAGTTCCTTGGTGTGTGGCGCTTCCCCCTATGCTTGCCTACCTTTGCCTGCTGCTGTTTGTCCGCCATTCCTATCATACAAAACAATAGCAAATATCACTCCTCCATTGTTCAAAGTTTGTATATAAAGAAAGGCAAATCATGGATGCAAAAAGATTCGTACTTACCTATGCTATGAAATGGACCACCACGTTGATCCCCTTGTTTCAAAGAAGGAAGAGTCTGCGCATGCGCAGAGCTTAACCCACGTGCTGCAACATGGCCTCCACTTGGGAGGAGATAAATCCTTCCCTTTCTCCTCAAACTCTCTCTGTACTGAGGGATAATGGCTTCTTCTCTCCCACTCCAGTGCAGGTAAAAATAATGTTCTATAATATACAGATATTTTTCTTTTTTAGTCTCTAGTATTGCCTCATTTTCTAAGTAATAAGGACGTTTCTGTTCAAGCAGTATGTTATTAAAAGATCAATTTCTTTTTTAATTTTATTATAAGGTTACGGGGTCAGGGAAGACACTCTCGTTTGTTATTCCCGTCATAGAAAAACTCAAAAAGAGGTAGCAGTAATTTTTATAATAATTATCAATTATTTTTGATTACTTAAGGAAACAAAAATGGAGGAGAGGAGAGGTAATTAGCTTATTTATTGTTGTTATTTATTGTATACAGACTGGTGCTATTGTGATACTACCAACACGGGAATTAGCCGTCCAAGTCTCTGAGGTTTTTAATTTATTTATTACTGGGGCGGGAATCTCGCTGCGACAGTTAATCGGAGGTAGCCAAGAAGTGGTGAAAGATGTGAGACTCATAAACGAAGAAGGGTAAGAAACAAATTTTAAAAATAATCAATTACTTGATTATTAGTGGTATAGTCGTTGTAGCTACTCCTGGTCGACTGGCCGATCTGTTGGAACGAAAGGATTGTCACCTTGCAGCTGGTGTTAGATCACTGGTATGATAATAATAATAATAGTAATGATAACAAATAATAATATAATTAATGTTCTTCTCTCTCCTTTTCAGGAGATTCTGATATTAGATGAAGCCGACCGTCTTTTAGATCTTGGATTTGAAGCAACGTAAGTAGTACATGGTTTCATCTTAATTCATTAATTGTTTGTGACGCCATTAGGTTAAATACTATATTGAGCTATCTACCAAAGCAAAGGAGAACGGTATTATTTATATTACTCTCATAGTCTGATATAATCTGATTCAAAAAATGCCTGTAATTTTCGATAATTAATTTCAGGGCCTATTTTCAGCTACTCTTAGGCACGAGGTCGAAATGCTAATAAGGAGTGGACTCAGACATCCTGTTAATATCACACTTTCATCGGAGTCGATGGTATATATGGGAAAACTATTTTCATTATAAATTAATTTGATAACAGGAAAGCACTGTCCCGGATTCGCTAATAAATTACTACATAGTAAGTAATTAAATGGCTCGCATTAATTAGGTGTGTGGGCGTGGTTTTTTTATAGGAAGTTCCGCCCAAAGATAAACTTTCTCATCTCGTTGGTTTTCTCTCTCATCATGAAACAGAGAAATTACTTGTATTTTATGCAACATGTGCTGGAGTTAGCTATTTCTCAGACCTAATTAAAAGGCATGTTATACTTTATTATTATTATTATTATTATTATTATTATTATTATTAGGTTACTGCCTTCTTTAAAGGTCCTGGCATTACATGGTAAGATGAGAGAGAAGAGACAGTCGCTGTTTGAATCTTTCATGGACATGGAAAGGTTTGTAATTCGGACATGTATGGGGGACAGGGTTTCCCACAAAGCATGCTAAGTGAGCTGAAAAGCACTAAAGTACAGTACATGGCATTTGGAGCAACTTTGGCCTGATTTTTGAGCAACTTTAAAACTTGGTAAAAATTCAATCTTGATTGGAATCAGCTCAAACTTGCTACACAACATAAGTACATGTATATGTATCAGAAAAAGTTATAAAAGTGGTAAATTCTCTCCTAGTCATTTTTGGTGAAATTTGGCCAAAAACCCTGTACTATAGTACAGGGACTTTGGCCCGATTTTTGAGCAACTTCAAAAATTTGTAAAAAATCCAATCTTGATTGGAATCAGCTCAAACTTGCTACACAACATAAGTACATGTATATGTATTAGAAAAAATTATAAAAATGGTAAATTCTCTCCTACTCATTTTTGGCAAAATTTGACTGAAAACCCTGTACTATAGTACAGGGACTTTGGCCCGATTTTGGAGTAACTTTAAAAATTTTAAAGAAAGTCAATTTTTTTATTGGAATTCACAAAAATTCCCATACAGTACATATGTAGTATAAAAATTATAAAAATTGGAAATTCTCTCTTAGCGATTTTGGAAAATACCCTTATAGTAAATGTATATGTTATTTTGCCAAATTTTTGAGCAACTTTAAAATCCAGTGACAAGAACCTGCATGAGTAATATGCCCAAAATCCTGTGAGAAACCCTGATGATGGGGCCAGGCCAGTCACAATTATTTATCTCTAGTGGCGTCCTGATGTGCACTGACGTAATGGCTAGAGGTATAGATATACCCGACGTTGATTGGGTGCTACAATTTGATCCTCCTTCGTCTGAAAAGTAAGGAAAAACACACTATACATATATTGAGGCGGTCTTCAATTTCTCCCTCCCTCAAATTTATTGTCAGAGCTTTTATTCATCGCTGCGGCCGAACAGCAAGGATGGGAAGGCGTGGTCATAGTTTAACGTACCTTGTTCCTCCATCAGAGCTGGCATATGTTGAATACATGCGCATTAGTGAAGGAGTCACTTTGGAGTTACTCCCAGAGACAGAAATTGGGAGAATACCATCATCTTCTGCCTTGATAGAGAGGGCGAGGGCAGAGCTCTCGAAAGAAAGGTTATTGAAACGATTTTATTGATTTATATTCAATAATTTTATAATTGTTTTATTGCAGGGAGTTTTATGATAAAAGCGTAAGAGCTTTTGTATCGTTTGTCAGATTTTACAGTAAACACAGCTACCACCTAATATTCAACATGAAAGGTTAGTGTCCTTTTATGAGAATCTCTCAGTGTGGATATTTATGTTATTACACTATTGCTTACATATGAAAAATTTTTTATACCCAAGGATGGTTTATTTAAGTTTTCCTTTAAGTCAGGCAGGAGGGGGAGGCAAGCTAATTGAAAACCGTTTCTTTTAGAATAGTTTATAAATTCAATTGTTGGTAATTGTCCAGGTTATAAATACTGGATGTATTTAATGAAATTCCTTTTTATTAGTTCTAGATCTTGTCTCACTTGCTTATGGGACTTTTGCTTTGCTCCACTTACCAAAAATGCCTGAACTGAAGGGAAAGGACACCTCTCAATTTGAGGCTCACCCAATCAGTCTTGAAGCAATACCATTCAAAGAGAGAAGTAGAGAGAAGCAAGCACTGGCACTTAAAAGAAAGAAAGGTTATTCTATTTTACATTGTATGTATAGGAACCTACTTTTATACTTCTGATAGTATGGGGATATATGTAACAAAGCTGTAGATTTATTGCATATAGCAAGTCTATAGCTTCCCTATCTCTTCCAAGTTGTGCATATGTACTTGACATGTCTTCTTGTGTGATTGTGTGTTGTTGCTTTTGGCAGAGGCTGCTTGGATGGCTAAGGCTGAAGCTAGAAAGAAATTTCTAAAGAGAAAAAATAGGGAAGAGAGACGCATATCCAGGAAAAACACAAGGCAAAATAAAGTATGGGCTTCTTTTTGATTTGTATAATAATGCTTCATTTTTTGTAGCATACCTTTTCTGCTTCTGAATTGGATGAGCTTGCTAAAGAAGCACGTTTGGTTAAACAGTATAAAGCCAGAAAGGTAATATACATGTATATCATAATTATTTTTTCTGTTTATCATTAATTTTTTTTATAGATTTCAAAAGAAGATTTGGAGGCACAATTAGACTCTTAACTGTTGCCATTGATGATTAATTTTTTAATTTTATTCATGCACAGTATACTTAATTTAATAATTCGAGAAAGGGTGGTGCTGTTACTTTTGATCGATCATAGCCACTGTTATGGCAGAGATAACAAATGATGAAGGAAAGAGCAAAGAAGAACAAAAGATGCAAATGATTATAACCGCCCAGATTGCATTCGATGCTGATAGATGTGATGGTAAAGCTGAATTTGAATTACGATATCCTTTATTTTTAGAGCAGATATGGCAGATTGCATGCATAAAGCTACTGTTATTGCTGGTGGGCATCTAAGCAGGGAAGAAAGAGATTTGCTCTCTGTTGCTTTCAAGAACGCTACTGCAGTAAGGAGGCTTTCATGGCGTGTCATTGCGGCCTCAGAACAAGGAGAGAAAGACGCCAGGATGAAGGATGCAAGCAAGATGTATAGACACCAGATAGAGGGCGAGTTGCTGGCCATTTGCCAACTAGTAGTAGGCCTATTGGATGATTACTTGATACCAGCATCAAATGACAGCAATTCTGAAGTATTTTATTACAAGATGTAAGTGAATTTTACATGTATTGCGGGCTGCATATTCACAGTAATTCAGTGCTGATGAATTTTCACACATACAGTGGCTTGGCTAGTATCCATAATCATATCAAGTTAACTGTACTCTCAATTCTATTCAGGAACATAATAATTATGTAATTATTTTGCCTATACATATCTCGCCGACTGTGAGCTACACTTCAATGCTGGCTGTTTTGCTTTCAGTGTTTGACAACTATAATACATGTATGTAGGAATGGAATGCACTACAATTATTCTTTTGCTATAATAAACTAAATGCTAGGCTATAGGTAGTTTTTATAGTGTGTTAATTTTTGTTTTTTTCATCCACAGAATTCAAACCACCTCCAATGCCATTCTATTGTATATAGATTATGGCCAGGACATAAAAATTAGCCAAAAAAATATTAATTTTTAGGCACATTTAATTGACAACATGGAATTTTAAACACTTGAAAATTTGAGTGGTTATAACTTCTTTCTTCTGCTGTATAGGAAAGGTGACTATTGTCGGTATAGAGCTGAGCTTTTGCTAGGAAAAGAAAGAGAAGATGCGGCTGCAGAAAGTGAGGCAGCTTACAGGAAAGCTGAAGACATTTCATCTGCAAATCTTTCTCCTCTTCATCCTCTGCGTCTTGGCCTCTCATTGAATCACTCTGTCCTTTATTACGAAATATTCCGTGACAGTGTAACTGCTTGCAGCATTGCCAGTAAAGTAAGCCTTAGTACATAGTTTGATTGCAGAGCCTAAAATAAGAGTCCACAGACATTGGAAATTTTCTGACAATTTTGCTCAATTGTCCAACCAAATTCTGTGTTTGTTGTTCTACCATTTTTGTCTGAACAACATAATTTTTGACACAAATTTATTAAAAGCTATTAATAGCATTTCCTACTGCAGGTTAAAGCTTGCTGACAAGTACATAAAAATCCAAATTTGATTGGAATCAGCTCAAACTTTTTACGCAGCCAAAAAACATGTATAATATGTATCAGAAAAATAGAGAATTTTTTTACTTTTTATTTTTGACAAAATTTAGCTAAAGCCCCTGTACTATTATAGTACAGGGACTTTGGCCTAATTTTCGAGCGTGGCTTTTAAGAATTTGTAAAAAAAATCCAATCTCGATCGAAATCAGTTTAAACTTTCTACGCAGCGTAAGAACATGTATAATGTAGTAAGAAAGAAATAAATTATAAAAAATGGAGAATTTTCTACTTTTTATTTTTTGACGAAATTCGGCTAAAGTCCCTGTGCTGTAGTACAGAGGCTTTTAGCATACTGGATCTCAACTCTTGAGCAACTTTGCAATTTATTGACAAGAAGCTGCATGAGGTCTATGCCAAAATCTTGTGGGAAATCTTGTCCGACTGTTTTGTAAAAATGGCAGATCAAATTAAACAATGTTCAGACACAATGTCTGAGCATTGTTTGAATGTAATTTCAGGCTCTGGATTGTATAAATTGAAAAAGCAAGATGACTTTGTAATTTTACTTTATTATTATTTTTTTTTTTTATCATTATTATTAGGCAGTTTGTCTGTATGATAATTTTGATTACAACTTTGATTTCTTGTATATATAGGCTATAACTGAAGCAGAGCAACTTGAATATGATAGTACTGCTGATGATACAGATGATGAAGCTCTTTCAATTTTGAAATTGCTCAAGGACAATTTTACTATCTGGAATCATGATTATAATTGATTTTGTTCAGTAATTTATTTTTTGCAATAGCCCGGGAAAAAGGGCGCCTTTAGCAGACGTCATGAGTTGTTGTCATGGGAACAATTGACGTCATTGCAGTGCGGTTATTCATTCATTCATTGCTCATCATCAAAGCTCAATAGTCCCCCTACTAGTCCCCCTAGTCCCTTTGGAGTTCGTAAAGATTGTAGAAGCACTACTTTCAAGAAGAAGAAGCAATGGAAGAATCACCAGAAGTTTTTGAAGCAAAGCTTGCAGAGCAAACAGAGAGATATAATGGTAAGTTTGGCAGACTGTACCCTTTTATCTCACTCTCTTCCGCCCCTTCTCCCCCTCAGACATGGTCGATGTAATGAAAAAAGTCGTCAAGTCCAAAGGAAAAGCTCCGCTTACCACAGAAGAGCGAAATCTTCTCTCCGTGGCTTACAAGAACGTTATTGGGGCCAGGAGGGCTTCTTGGCGCATCATTTCCAGTCTAGAGCAAAAGGATCCCTCAAAAGAAATAATTGCAGATTATAGGAAGAAGATTGAAAAAGAGCTGGATGAGATCGTGAAAGATGTCACTGAATTGCTAGATGATTTGATTGCTGTAGCCGATGATAACGAGTCTAAGGTCTTTTATCACAAAATGTAAGTTTGTTCTTTTGTACTTGTATTACCGTAGGGCGCCTTTTTTTCGAGAGCTGTAAATTTTGTGGATTTTGCGATTTATTGAAGATTTGCGAAAGTTACTTCCACGAAAATCAAATTATTACGGTAAAAGATGGCAGACGGCAGAAATCTGTGAAAATTAAATTCACAAAATAGATTTTTTGGCAAATTTGCAAAATTTACAGCCCTCGAAAAAAGGTATCCTACGGTAATTTTAGCCTTGTGGGTTGTGGCGCTATCGCTAGTAGCGGAATTGAATTATTTCTTATTGTGCACGGGATTAAATGGCATCAATAGTAGCTTACAATCTAGCCATAACTTATGGCATTTGAATGGAAATTGAATGCTAAAATATTTTGTTTTATTTGCTTCAGTATTGTATGTCAATTGTTTTGCCAATGGTATTTCTATCTTCTCGCATAAAGGCAGATTTACAATAATTATTACGCTAGAGTTGAATTTGGTTCAAATCTAGTGTAATGTAATGCCCAAGTTTTTGATTTGAAATTGATAGTGTCATTATGGTTAAAGATTATCCGACTTAAGAGTCAACTTTTACTCATCATCTGCCATTGATACACAATTTGGGGTACAAGGTCTAGCAGTGCTTTTTTTGTATCTTATCTTTCCTTTCTTCTTTTGTGTCCCTTCCTTGTATTGGAGGGGATTGCAAAGCTTTTTTTGGAAGACGAGACCAATTAACATTCTGAACACAATTTTAAGTAAATTACTTGCTCATGCAGCATCTACCATAATACATGTTTATATCTCATGAACAGTGAAATATATTATATACATGTATAACATGTGATATGGGTTGATACACCCTCCACTTTAGACTTTAGATACTTTGAATTGATATCAACCCATAATTATCGTGTTATATAACACACACACACACACACATGTATAATTATGTGTTATTTTGATTTCTAGGAGCGGAGACTATCATCGTTATGCTGCTGAATATTCTACTGGTGATGCAAAAGATAATGCATCTCGAAAAAGCCAAGAAGCCTATGAGAAGGCTACAGAAGTAGCTAAAGAAAACCTTAGTACAACTCATCCGATTCGTCTTGGTCTTGCTCTTAATTACTCAGTTTTCCACTATGAGATTAAAAATGACCCAGAAAGAGCTTGTAAAACTGCTAAAGAGGTATTGTGTATGTGTGTTATGATCATTTACTGGTGGTCTATTTGCTTGGGATGATAAATACTTCATTATATTCTCTGCTCTCTTTTTTTCAGGCATTTGATAGTGCCATTACTGATTTAGATAACCTTGAGGAAGACTCATACAAGGACAGCACTTTGATTATGCAGCTTCTTAGAGACAACCTGACTCTTTGGACTTCTGAGACTGGTAATAAGAAAATATAAATTTATGCATTCAATAATTGCTAAGGCAGTTTTGTTTATTGGCCAATTAATGACTTTAAGACTGAATCAATGTTTTTTTTATCTTTTGTCTTGTGAATTATTTGTTCCTTTTTTTTAATGTAGATCAACAAGACAAAAATGACGACAATGAGGATCAGAACTAAGCTAGCGAGCTGATTTCTAAAAACTCTTTGTCGCATTTGATGTGCCAGCTCACCTATTGACACCTTTTTACATATTAGCATTAATATTACACTGTGTCTGTGTGTGTGTGGATTCTTGACCCTACTTCTTATTAGTGATGATAATAATTATTATTACCAATTATTTTATTTCCGGTTGGTATGACGTCAATCGTGGTCGTTATAGTAACCACCGTAGATCTGCACGTGTACGTGTTTGGGATTGCGCGGCCAATTTTGTGAGTCGTTCATTTCTACATTCCATCCGTCTTTCTGAAACTGAGAAAGGAGACTGGGAGAGCTCAAATAGCCACGAAATGGAAGACATGGACATCCCTGATCTTGTAGATATGGCCAAGCTTGCAGAGCATGCAGAAAGATTTGAAGGTAGGTGCTGATTTCGAGTGGATACTGTGTCTAATTATGGCCAACTAGATATGGCTAAATATATGAAGAGCAAAGTACAGAAGGACAGTAATTTAAGCATGGACGAAAGGAGCCTTCTTTCTGTTGCTTTCAAGAACGTTATAGGGTCCAGAAGGGCGTCATGGAGGACATTACAAGTACAAGAGTCTAAAACCGAAGAGGGTAAAACAAAAGGAGCTATCCCTCTCGAGATTACAAAAGAGTACAAGAAGAAGGTAGAAACAGAGCTAACGGAAATAATAGACGAAGTGATTGAGCTCCTGGACTCGAAGCTAATATTAAAAAAAGCTAACGATGAGATAACTGATGAGAAGGAAATTGAGACCCAGATATTTTATTACAAGATGTAAGTGTGAACTTTTTGTTATAAATAAAAACATGTACAATATTCTGGTTTATAACCATGCATTTAATTCTAACTGCATTATAAATTATAATAGGAAAGGTGATTACTGCCGCTATAAAGCTGAGTATGATAAGGAAAACGATAAGATTGTAAGCGATGGTGAGGCTGCTTACGAGAAAGCGCTAGAATTAGCAGAGAAGCTCCCGTCCACCAATCCAACCAGTCTTGGTCTTGCACTTAATTATTCCGTCTTCTTTTATGAAATAAAAAATGATGGTGCCAAGGCCTGCTCTATAGCCAAAAAAGTAACATTCTTCTTCTCTTTCTGAAGCTCTCTTTTGTCCCCATTCCTCTCTCTCTCTCTCTCCCTCCCTCCCTCCCTCTCTCTCTCTCTCTCTCTCTCTCTCTCTCTCCCTCCCTCCCTTTCTCCCTCCCTCCCTCCCTTTCTCCCTCCCTCCCTCCCTTTCTCCCTCCCTCCCTCCCTTCTTATGAACAATGGAATGTCTTTCTTTAGGCTTTTGATGACGCTGTCAAGGATCTTGATAATGCTGCCACAGAAAGCACTTACAAGGACAGCACTTTGATTATGCAGCTGCTTAGGGACAATTTGACCCTTTGGACCAGCGAAGCTGAGGAAGATGATCAACAAGGTACACACGACGAGACTGAACAAAGCTATTATAACTAATTGCCTTCTTTTGTTAGATGCTGAAAGAGATTAGCTCCACTTACAATAATAATTACAAGGTATACTTTGCTGAAGTTCATCAAGTACATTTTATTATTATTTTTTCTCTCTCAAACATTAAATAATTGTCTTTTAAAATAACAACAATTGTCATTAGTTTGATTTTATTTTTTGACAATAATAATAATCATTATTTTCCAATTGTGCTATTGTTATTATCATTTTTTCAATCCATTTGATAAAAGAGAAGATATGCTTCACAGTTCATAACCTCATGATTGTACACAGGATAGACGGTGGTGTCCGATGTATACAACCACTGTCTCCCGCATTGCCTGTACGTGCAATAGTGCCCTGACGAAGGTCCTCCTAGATGTTCAACGACGGCTCTGAGTTGATACTTCCTAAAAAAAGTTTTTTTTCATTATTAGCAGCATTCTTGAATATGACTGACATTCTTTGACAAGTCTACACTTGTTGAGTGCTATTGGGATTCTTTGGGCCAAGTATGGCTTGATTTGACTTGCAACTGAAAATAACCAAATATGGTTATAAACACTACACCCTCTTGAAAGGAAAGTGTACATGTATGTGGCACAGCTTTATACAACCACACAAAAAGGGGAATTTAGCTTTAGGAAAGCATGGCATACATATACAGTAGTTTGAAAATTACATTATTAGACTCACAAGTCTACTTGGTACATCAGGTTAAGAGATTATATTCAAAACCCATTCAAACTGACCAAACCCTACCATTAATAGTGGACTATAGCTCTTATGATTACATCAGTACAGCTCTTAACTATCTTTACCATAATTATTGGTACATCTATTGTTAGCGTGCTAAAAAAAGCAGCACAGTTTAGTTTGGAACTGTTACATATTTTACTGTTACCTATTTTACTGTTACAATAGGCATATGGTTTTAGTGCATGCAGGTACAGCAGCCCAAACATTACAAAAATTAGCTGCTACCTTTCCACTACTCACGTTTTGTCTTGTCTTGTTGCTGTTGTAGTTAGGAAACTATTGATATCAAGAGTAAGAGGGAATACCAGTCTGGACCTGTTCTTCACCATCGTGCCATCGGACCTCCAAACACTCCGGATTATATTAAGGCAGAGTACTTCCGGAGGACGCCCAATCCGTAGTTTCTTCCGAAAACTTCTTTTTGTCTTTACGCCGGCTCTTTTGGAACAAGATGGACACTCAATGTCGTCCACTATCTCAGAGCTCATGTAGTCCCTGAGGCATTCGACTAGCGATGAGGACTAAAGGAGGAAAGAGATGAGAAAAGTACTTGTGGTAAAGTTAAAGTTGGTACAAGAAAGGATTTTTTAGCCTGCTGACTTTACACAATAACGCAAAGAGATACACTTTGAACTCTGTTTTTGTTCCTATATCTTATCACGTTTTCATCCATTTCCGAACATAAAACAGGCACAAAAATGAATGACACAGATTGCATCCTTTAATTTTTTTGTTCCTACATGTACATGAGCTTTTTTGTTCCTCCACGAGAGTAGCCTTAATAGATTGGCCCATACTACATGTATTAATTCTAATACAAACCACTGACTGAAGCCTATGGTTCATGGAACATGTCATACAGAGTGCGAGGTGAACTCATTCTGCAGACCATAATAATGATTTTAGTTTCCTTCTTCCCTCCCTCATAGTAAAGAGTGCACAACAAATACATGTATATTGTACATCATTGTGTGTCTTAATATCATTATTAGGACCTACTACTGAGGCTGCCCTTTGACTAAGAGGAAGAGAGATGCTGTCTATTGACTCATACCGAGTTGGCAACTAAAATGAGATACAGATAAATAACCACTTGATTGTGTTATGCCATACAGCGTGCTGGCAGTCACAGCAGACAAGACTACTGGACATCAGGCCTTGCAAAGGACAGGATTTAGGTTGAGAAGGAGCACTGAATGAACCTAGAAAAACAAATCATAATAAATGAATTTTTTTGCATTATTATATATATACAAAGATAATAATTTTTATAATAATAAAGAATAATTATTACCAATTTTAGTGAGAGCCATGCCTTTTGTGCTGGAACTCTGGGCTTCAACCTGAGGATCATTGATTAGATCAGAGAGTGACAAAGTGGGGCCTACACTGAAGAACCTCAGTATTCATTCTATTTTTGGTAACGCTCGCTATTTTTAGTAACCAGCAATTTCGTCTTTACCTGTCATTTCTTCCTCCAGAGTTGTTAGGAGGACATGATAAAACTCCAGAGCATCCTGGAAACAAAGAAAATGTAACTACAATGTACAATATTGAAGATACATGTAAAACATGTACATGTACATGTATCTACATCGTACGTGTACAATAGCTACATGTACATAATATAAAGCAATAAGCAATAGAGCCTATACTAAAGGTAAAACAGTAATACAGACTAGCCTCTTAATGGACACTTTGGTACAAGACAGTGTCTCTGTTATACAGAGGTGTCCTTTATGTGGAGGTTATTTATACAATAAGGAATGTAATTGGTACACTAGGTGCTGTCCATTAAATGGAGCTGTCCACTATAGAGAGTGTCCATTAAGAGAGGCTATACTGTGAATGCAAAATGGCTACAATTTACTTGCTGCTGATGATCGATCAACCATCTGTGCCTCATTAGAGCTTGCGTAAGTTCCTCAGGCGAGATATTCACTTCATTATTGTCATTTAAAGCTACAAAGTAGAGGAACTAATTGAATTGGTATACATTGAGTTACATGTACATGTACACATAGTATATGGACATAGAGAATGAGAGAAGGAAATGAGTTTAGGCATGTGTGAGTAGGTGCCAGTCATGCCATAGTAGTATTGCTAATTAATGCAAATATTTATAAAAAATGTTTTAAATAAATAGATTAAAATAATTATAGCAATGTATAGTTCCTATTGCCTTGAGATGCATAATAATAATAATAATAATATTAATAATAATAATAATAATATTAATAATATTAATAATATTAATAATGATGATGATAATAATATTAATAATGATGATGATAATAATAATAATAATGATGATGATGATAATATTAAAATATAAATGTTAATCTAATTTTATCCTTATTAACTTATTTTTTATTCTTATCAACTTAATCTTATTTTCATCCTGTCCTAACTTCATCCCAATTCTAGCTTTCCTTTCAAAATAATAATATTAACAACAACAAAATAATAATAATAATAATAATAATAATAATAATAATAATAACAGTGAGATGACTTTTAATTACACTACCCAAAAGATGCTCATGCTTTGTACCTTAATTAGCTTAATTATCAACTTAATTTTACCATGTAAGACATTCTTAAGAGAAACTGCTAGTGGGGTTTCTTTACTGTCCAGCCATTGAAGTAAGGATGGTATGGAAGCCATTGCCTATAGAAACATGCATAGGGAAATATTACAATGAACAAAAGCTAAGGAAGCTAAGAATGCATGTACATTCAAGGCATGATACATGTAAATGTACACAATACACTGTACTATAGGGCAGGGGTGTATCTAAGCTCTGAGAGTTGGTTGGGCACGGAGAAAAAATATGCGGCGCGCGAAGCGCGCCGCGAAAATTTTTAGAGCTAATTAATATTCATGACGGGCGTGGTCAATTAAATACTACGATTATTACTTTAATTAAGCTAAGATGTGCACTTCAGTGCTTATATTTTCTTCATTAGTAGTAGTACTGGCCTTGGGAAGACATTCAAACAGACTCAGCAGAGTTTCTTAGCCATTTTCAACTCGATTACTTTAATAATTAATGTGAATAGTCTAATAACTGATTGGTTAGTAGTAGTTATTATTTTAAAAATGGCAGCCCAATTGCCCAAATGGAGCTATGGAAGTCTCTACCATGTCATCATTATATTTACACTGGCTAAAACTATTAGCTATGCTAGTCTTGTCTCATTGCTATCATAATAAAGTGAGCAATATTTTTAAAAGGACTAATATACAAAAGAAAAAATATTTTTTGGTCTGCTGAGTTGGTCGGGCACAGGCCCACCCAGGCCCACCCTTAGATACGCCCCTGCTATAGGGACTTTGGCCTGGTTTTGGAGTAACTTTTAAAATTCATAAAAAATCCAACTTTGATCAGAATCAGCTCAAACTTGCTACACAACATAAGTACATGTATATGTATCAGAAAAAGTTATAAAAATGAAAAATTCTCTCCTTTCAAATTTTCGTGAAATTTGGCCCGAAACCCTGTACTATAGTACAGGGACTTTGGCCCAATTTTGGAGTAACTTTTAAAAATTCATAAAAAATCCAATTTTGATCGAAATCAGCTCAAACTTGCTACACAACATAAGTACATGTATATGCATCAGAAAAAGTTATAAAAATGAAGAATTCTCTCCTTTCAAATTTTCATGAAATTTGGCCCGAAACCCTGTACTATAGTACAGGGACTTTGGCCTGATTTTGGAGTAGCTTAAAAAAAATCATAAAAAATCCAATTGTGACCGGAGTCAGCTCAAACTTTCTACACAACATAAGTACATGTATATGCATCAGAAAATATAAAAATATGGAAATCTTTCTGAGCCATTTTTAATGAAATACCCTGTATGTATATATATATATATATATATATATATATAATATACATGGTCTTTTGCTGTACATGTGGAGCTCAAGATGTGTGATTGTGAACAAAGTAATACATAATTATGCCAGTTGCTCTCACTTGTAAAATGGAATTAATGAAGCACGTGTTTCCAAGATTAATGAGACCTGGTACACGAGAATCTGCATGAAAGGGAATATTATCATAATGTCACATGTTAGTAGTCGTGCAGTTTTGGTTTTTTTTTTTTTACCTCTACCCCTGAGGCTTTCGGGACCAAACAAAACGTAAGCTGTAGCTGCGATGGCAGCTGCACCTGTTAGACAGAGAGTCCACCAAAACGTGCTGTCCTGCAAAACGCCTGACATTATCTTTTCTACAGTTGCTTTCTTTTCGCCATTATTTTGTGGCGGCCACGCCCATTATAAAATGGCGTCCGTGACGACGGCGCCATTTTATTTGAGAGGGCGGGGCTTGTTAGAATTATGAGTAATTCTGCAAGTGAAGGGAAGACAGATGAAAAGGAGAGGAATAAAGGTGGTAGAGGTCGGAGAGAGGAGGACAAGCGTCCATATCATCTCTCAGCTAAGGGCCAACAAAAGTACCAACTAGAGAAATTAATGGCTGACCCAGTATGTTTACTTCTCTATTCATTTCTACTAGTATTAAATTGGACTTCTCTTCTTTATTATTTTTAGGAAAAACCAGTAGAAGTACCAGACATGAAGCCTGATTGGAAGCCACCTGAGCCTCCAGAATTCAAAAGATTTTATATGGGTGAGGCCAATCATTATGAATGTCTTAAAGTCAAAATTAATAAAATGCTGTTCTAATACTGTATATACATAGGGGGTATATATAATTATTTCCCGGGGAAAATATTTCACGAAAATCACCTTTGAACCTATTCACAAGACAAATTTTTGCACTTTTTTCTACTGACCATTATTAGTATGATAAAAAATAATTTTTATGGATAAAAATTTTCACGAATTTTTTAAAACGGTGAAATTAGCGAAATTAAATCCCCGTGAAATATACCCCCTATACGGTAGTAATGGCAATACTAATTTTGATGATAATAGGGTCAAGTGCTGGTGCTGGTAGTGAAGTGTTTCACGTTTATCGTCACTTGAGACGCTACGAGTCAATAAGACAGGACTGGATCAGAGAGACAGCAGAAAAGGAAGACAAAGATGCTGAATTTCAAATGAGACTGGCAGAGAAGAGGGCAGCTGCTGAACAAAAAACAGCAAAAAAGAGAGCAAAAAGGTATACAGTTATGTAATGCATTTTGTTATATTTGTGTATGTTTATTCTGTGAATCCTTAAATAAATAAATCAATAAATAAATAAATCAATAAATAAAATATTCTCGTTCACAATTTTATAATTGTATTTTTTTTAGATTAAAGAAAAAGCAATTGAAAGAGAAAAAGATTTTATTAGATAAGAAGACAGAAAAACTCCCTGTAGGAGGAGACATTGAGGAACAAGCTAAGAGAGATGAGAGTGAGAATGATGATGATGATGATGATGATGATGATGCTTATGAGAATCCTTTTGTTATTGGAGGAAAATAAAATGATGAGTAACAACTTGATTGCAATTGTTTGAGCTACTACTCCATAGCATAAAGGCCTTTCTACACTAGCACTTCTGATGCGCATTGAGCTGGTTTGGAACCGGTTCCAGTCCATAGTCCAGTCATTCCACACCTGATGCGCATGCGCATTATCTCAAACCACCTCCATATGTGGTTTGAATGTGCATTCAATAGATAGCCAATGGCAGCTGGATCAGAAATGCTATCAAAATATACATGATCCTGGAACCGGTTCAAGTGTAGAAAGGCCTTAAAAGAGGTCTTATCATCCCAAAAACTAATTTTTGAGCTATGAGCATCTATAAATGTACTTTGTACTATTATCATAATGAAAGTTTGCTTGAAAAACCAAGAAAAATAGACAAAAATTAAAACCACAAATACATAATGTATATGCATAAAGAGAGAGTGAGAGAGAGAAGAGTCAGCAAGAGAGCTTTTCATGAAAAAAAATTAAGAGAAAGAAAAGGAGAAAAATGCATAAAATCTATAATGATAATAATAATAATAATAATAATAATTACTGTATTAATACGTTATATTATTTCGTCATTTTTACAACTAAGGAGAGAAGCATCGCTAGAACAAAACACTTAATAATAATAATAACGATTATTATTATTATTAATTTCAATATTAATAAGAGAAGTACCAAAGTTTAAAGTGAGAGAGAGAAAGAGAGCGAATGAGAAGGAGGAGGGGAAGGTGGTCTTGCATTTTTAAGGACGTCATTTCTTTCCTTTCTTCCCGTTGGATCCTCTGGGCGGAGTCTGAGGGCGGGATCCTTGACTACTTCCACCGTAAGGGAAAAACTTCCTTCGATCAGAAGCTGGCTTTAGAATCTAAAAAAAGAAACCACGTGGATATAATCGTAAAGCATTCAGGATTCTTCGTGTACTGGGGCTTTTGTCATATTAATTTCAACTATTGGAGATATTATGGAAATAATAAATGCACATGTATGCATACCACTTTAACTGAAATGACTTCCTTGTTCCTTGCTAATAATTTTATCACTAAAATTAAGGCCATATATGTACATGTACAACAAGTACATGTACATAGCAATGGCGACATGATCATACATGTACATGTATGTAAATGTACATGTACATGTACAGTGTACTGCACAAATGGGATTACCTGAAATGAACACATTAAGGTCTCATCAACGCTCATCATTGCCCCTGCATTGTCAAATTCACCGCAATAATTGGGAGCAGAGAACAAAGTTACTAACTGACGCTTAGCAAAAAACTCATAACCATCTTCTACAACCTAGAGAGAGAGAGAGAGAGAGAGAGAGAGATAAAAAGGAAATTAGAGCTTCAATTTATAAGTAAACAATTTAAAATACATGTACAAGCTTGATTGCTTGTAAATATTTAATAATAGAATAACTTGTAGCAATCTATTTAAACTGATCTATCATTATCTTGTTATCTTTATTGAAATCAATGCCAGACAAAAACAACAGAGACAAATGTGAAAGCAATGCTAAGAAAACATTACAATATCACAAGTTTTGTGTTTTGATACAGTCACACACAATCACAGACCATTCACTGGGAAGTTTCTGAGTAGCCACACTTTTGCAAATTTTGCATTTTTTGCTCATTTGCAAAAATAAAAATCGTGAAATCAGCTCAAGCAGTCTTTCTACACAACATTTAAGTACATGTATATGCATCAGAAAAAAAATCCTGCTAAAGTCCTGTGTGAAACCCTGGGTCTATGTCTCTTGAAATTTCCTTGTTTTTTTCAATTCTTGATCCCTTTTATATAGCCTAGGTCTCTTGAAGCCTCCCATTTTTAGTCAGATTGGTCTCTCAAAATTTACTTCTAGATAATCTAACAATGAACATGCATCTATTGTCTCTTCTCTCGGTCTCCCTACAAAAAGCGACACTAACAGAAACTACATGTACACGTACTACTTATAAAATAATGAAAGCTCCACATGCTCCATAAGAGACTCTAGTAGTACCAGCAGTTACTGATCATCACAATTATACATGTACAAGTATAGGTTTATAAACGATAGTAAACATGTACATGTAGAGTACAATAGCCCATGATATATGGGTTAAAGCCATACAGACAGGCAGACAGACAAAGGATATAAGTCACACATAAAGTCACACACAAATGCACTACATCCTGTTATTGCAGATAGAATCTGGCAAGGTAAATCAAGGCGTGTACCCTATACATGTACATGTACATGTACAAAATAGTCAACAGGTCATGATTGTTATTTCAGAATGACAAGGACTGCTAGAGTGTCAGGAGGACAATAATAATAGACCAACAGGACAATCGTGAATAACATGATCCATTGTCATGATTCATATTTACTAGGCGCATTCTTTAGTCTTGGAAAACAGCTGGTGCTGATGCAAGCATGCTCTGACGAGAGAATACATGTACATGTACATCAGCTAGTACATGTACATGTAAGTAAATCCATGTAAATGTACACTCTTTACCTGGTGAGCTCGGCAGATTAGGTCGAGGTCATGCTTGCAGAGAAATTTAGAAACAATCTCAGGGCCAAACGTGAAGGAGACACCTCTATCATTCTCTCCCCAAGCAACTGTCTCTTTATCAGGATCAGCCCACAACAGATCACAGAGTAATCCTAGAGGAATGATGTAATACTGACTGCAACCAAATCATAGTGTTGGAAAGGAAATGAGTCAATATATGAGTGGGATACGAGTATGCGTACGTGTACATGTATAGAATATTTATTGATATATCGTGTTATACCTTGATCGGGAACATCTGTGGGTCTCATGATACGTCTTATCTGTTCCATGGACTGTAGATCAGGAGACAAACCTATTAATAATAATAATAATAATAATAATAATAATAATAATAATAATAATAATAATAATAATAATAATAGGTATGTGATAAATAAAATCATAGCTAATTTTGGCATAGCACCACCAAAAGACTAACAAACAAAGCTACACGTACACATGTAACATTTAACACTGCAAGCAGCTCTTATAGACACTTTCATTCATATGTAGTACAGTGTAGCCTTTTTATTAAGGACACCATTGGGCCCTCACTACCTGTCCTTAATACATGTACAGTGTAGCCTCTTTATTATTAAAAATGCTTTATTAAGGACACCATTGGGCCCACATTACCTGTCCTTAATACAGAGGTGTCCTCATTTCAGAGGTACTTTTGTACCAATCGGGACATTACAAAATGTAGAGGTGTCCTTATCTCATTACAGAGGTTACAGTACAATGTATGTGTGTGTGTGTGTGTAATACTTACCACCATGACAGCAGAATATCTTTTCATCAAGTATGGCAGCAACTGGTAGACAGTTAAAACAATCAGTGAATGTCTTCCATAGTCTAATGTTGTACCGTCTTTTACCTGGAGAAGAGAAGAGAAAGAGGGAGGAAATTTAGATAAAAAAAGAGGAGAGAGGGAGGGAGAGAGAGGGGAGAGAGAGAGAGAGAAGAGGGAAGGAAGGAGAAAGAATTAAGAGGAAGGACAAAGTGTAACGTGAGACAGTGACCAATTACATGAGAAAATTACAAGGAAACATGTAAGGCATTACCCCATTACACAAAATAACAATTCAATAAAAGAAGAGAATTAAAAAAGGAGTGTCAATGAAAAGCAAAGGGCAGCAAATGAGGTGGGCCATTAAAACAAACACAAGTAGCTGTTCGCAAACAAAGCGTTACCACTCATTAAACCATTACACACAACCACACAATATCCAGAAGACTCACACTCATCGTAAAACCCGTATATCCGGTTTATACTGGCGCATTCGTGATTCCCTCTTAGTAGAAAGAAGTTCTCGGGGTATTTGATCTTGTACGCAAGTAGGAGACATATTGTCTCGAGGGATTGCTTGCCACGATCGACATAATCTCCTAAAAATAGGTAATTGGATTCTGGAGGGAAACCTCCATATTCAAATAAACGAAGCAAGTCATAATATTGACCGTGAATATCACCTACAAAGAGAGAGGGAGAGGGAAGAGAGGGAGGGAGAGAGAGAGGGAGGGAGGGAGAGAGAGGGAGGGAGGGAGAGAGAGAGAGAGAGAGATAGGGGGAGGGAGAGAGAGGGGGGAGGGAGGGAGGGAGGGAGGGAGGAAGAGAGAGAGAGAGAGGGAGAGAGAGAGAGAGAGAGAGAGAGAGAGAGAGAGAGAGAGAGAGAGAGAGAGAGAGAGGGAGAGGGAGAGAGAGAGGGGTTACATATATGTAGTTAAATACACAAATAGCTGGAGTGCATGTACACGTACATTTACAACAACAATTAACTAGTGAAATATTTCATCAGGACTAACAAACCATGAAACCTCTGACCATGTACATACAAGCAGTGAAGCACCCACTCAGAACAATCCATTCCCATTCCACAAGACTCAAACCCATACCACCAACGATCCATTCCCATTCAACGAGACTCAAACCCATACCACTTACACAAGGCTTGTTCCTGTGAGAGGACAATATTCCCATTGTTGGCATTAGGAAGGCTATTAAAAGGCTTTGGGGCTCTTTAAGGTAAGTGTAAAATGGTACAAAATAAAGACATGAGGAGGAAGAGGAAGGAGGCATCAGTAGAAGAAACAGGAAAAGAGAGGTAATGAGAGAGAGAGAGGAGTAGAAAGAGAAACAAAGACGGCATAGGATAGGAATGCTCTTTTAATTAATGTACATGTACTTGACAACAAAAAGTGCTAGGAGTGCTGTCAATATAGTCCTTATTAAGGACATGTAGCATAAACATCACTAAATGAAGTTAAGTAATATCAGTTATATCATCCAAAACACAAGATATGTCTTTTATTGCACAACCAAGCAAGAGTTTAGGCCAGTTACAACCTACAGCCCCTGTTATTAAAGCACATAATGACATACTAATTACATGTAATAGCTATTAGATATGATTATATAATAATCAAAGGTCGTTTATATACGAGCAGTTTTGTGGAAACAGTTTATTCAAAAAAAAAGAACAAAATTGAAAAGGAAATGAGAAAGAGCCGATTCTTAGGCTGTGGGCGTGGCTTGGATTACGACCAAAATTTTAATAACGTACACAAACATAGAAGAGAATACAATACTCAAATTACTGTACGGTCAAATAATAATAATAATTGACGGTTTCATTATCATTATACATGTAATTTTTCTTTCTCTCTCTTACCACATATTTTCAATGGAGCTTCCAATTCTAAAAGAATCGGTTGGCTGAGAAAGATCTCCCTGGATTTGAGACAAAGCCCACGAATGTCTGCCTCCGTTAGCTGTACGTTCTTACCAGGTCTAGAGCCACGAACTATAATCAAAGAAAAACAACTAGTGCGTGTCACATCCCCGACTCTTGCTACCTTCTAATAACTTCTGAATGATGTTGTCTACATTTAGTTTATCTGTTTCAGAGGCCATTATAAGGAGGGGTTGCGCCTATTGTGGACGAAGAGGGGACCAGGAGACACGACTTGGGGGATATTGTTCCAATACACTAAAGAGATGAGATAGTGGAAGATGGCGAGTGTGTGTGCTCCTTTTCGTTGATGGGGCGATAAAAATATGTGGATCACGTGACTAGAATTGTAGACATGTCGTGACGTCACTGTGACGCAATATATCCACGTGGAGCTAAATGGCTACGTCTCTTTTATGGAGAAATGCTTCGTTGGCTGCCAGACGACTAGTGTCCCGTCAAATATGTAGGAGGACCGTTCCCAGTCCCTCTACATCTCTCCTTAAAACTCCAGTGTTGGCAACACGTACGAAATCAAGCTTGATTTTAAATCATGTTTTTTTTAAATCCTATTTTCACAGGTTTTAAAAGCTCTTTCTCTAACGACGCTAATAAGGGAGCGAGCGCTAGTCTTTTGCTACAGGCTCAAGCTGAATTAGATTTGGAGAGCACTGACGAGGAGGCTCTTGGATTTAATGGTTTTCAAATAAGCATCAATGGGGCTCAAGCTATCCTCACACGCATGCATGGAAACGAAGAGTAAGGGAAAGCGAAACCTTTAAACATGTACATGTACACACATGCTGACAACCACTCCGCCCTCATTTAGAGGTGTGGCTAAAATTGAAATAATTACCGTATAGCGGGAAATTTTCGAGGGACTAAAATTTGGCGATTTTGTGGCCACGTGCCATTGAGCATGCGTATAATGGCTCAAAATGGCAGATTTTATTTTGGCGAAATTATTTTCGAGGATAATAATTTTCGCAAATTACCTGTATCAGGAGGTCCACAAAATTAATTTTTACAAATTTCCACTATTCTTTTATCTGGTACGGTATTAAATTAATTTTCAAGGAATTTAATTTTGTGAATTTTAAAAAATCCACAAAATTTGTAAAAATTTTTGTCCTCAAAAAAAACTGCTATAGGATAATTATAGATGAATGTACACATATCTATAAATTATATCAATTTATAAATTACATCAATTTGCAATGGCTTGGTGTTTGTTTTTTTATTGTTTTGCTAGAGTGAAGGTTGAGCTTAATCTCAATGCTTATTCTGATATGCTTGAAGATGAATTAGATGATGATGATGATGATGACAATGTCGAAGAAACCCGAAACAAAGTAAATATCATATCATTCTAGTTGTAATACCATGTGAACAGACCCATGTTTTGTGATCACAAAATTTAAAAAGATATTCATATTTTTTTTTTAATTATACTAACATTTTGTTCTTATGATAATTTTTGTGTAATATTTTATCACGGGAATTTACGGTATCTGTTCCTTTTTCTTTCTCTCCCTGTTATCCAGCCTTTCTTCCTTCCATCGTTCACAGTTACATTCACAAAGAAGAGCGTAAGTGACTAAGTATACTGTTTATCTTTATTGTTCTTTATTATTCCTGCATACTATTAATACTCTAAAATAATAATAATAATAGTAATAATAATAGTAATAATAATAATAATAATAATAATAATATATGGTCAAATATTTTAAAAATTTCTGTCAAAAGTTTTAGCGAAAGAAATCACTGTCATTACTAGGGTATCAGTCTTGTTGTGAGGTGTTCTGTTGAAACTAGTGACTACGATGATGAGGAAGGCTGGGGAAACCTTAGCATAACTAATGTCTCTGTAGTACCAAAAGGAGGCACTACTGATCAGTATGAAGCCGATACTCAATACCTCAGTGATGTAAGAGAGCTTAACACTAATAGAAATAAAGATAGCCATAGATGAAGAATTCTTCATTTTTATTACATTTTATGATGCATGTACTTATGTTGTGTAGAAAGTTTGAGCTGATTCCGATCAAAATTGGATTGTTTATGAATTTTTTAAGTTGCCGTAAAGTTGGCTAAAATACGTTGGAACAGTAGAAAATTCTTCATTTTTATTATCTTTCCTGATGCATACAATTGCATGTGTACATGTACTTATGTTGTGTTGAGAGTTTATCAGATAATTTTCTTTCACTTCCCCAGGAGCTGATGGACTCCATCAATGACTACATGGAGGACAGGAAGATAAACCAAACCTTTGCCCAAGAGCTTTTGGAGTTTTATGACAATTTTGAGAGAAAGGCCCACACACAGTTTCTTAAAGACCTTAAGAGCTTTGCCCAAAGTTAATCAATCATGTACACCTCTAGCTATTGTGTATTATATAGACCGTTAGTTGTAGATAGTTATTATTATTATTAATTTTTTGTTATTGATAAAAATTAATTTTGATTATTCGTCTTCGAAAATTATCTTGTCATCTTTTCTTGTCTTTTCCAAGATGGATGGATTGCTCTTCAACCTGCCAAAACATAATTTGCTCAAATACACACATACATGTATACGAACATCATTCACATAATGCATTCCTATTTATCAGGGTTTTTGATAAGAAATTTAACTCTGCACCAATTTGGCCCAACTTTAGTCACATTTTGCACCAGAATGACTGTTTTTTTTCTCTAATATTGTAAAACTAGCAGAATTAGCTGTAAATTTGTTGAGCGAATCAGCTCAATTGATATTGGTAACTGTGGGCCATAGCAGACTGAATCGGGCCAATTTGACTTATCAAAAAACACTGTTCTTTGTTACCTCTGGCCACTGCTCCAGTATGAAGCTGACCATATCATCAATGATGTCTCCCTGAACCACAACTTCATCTTCTCCCGTGACTGAGCTACCGCAAGAGAAACGAGTTGAAAATTGCTTGCTTGCCTTCCTTGGATCAATGTCTATCGCAAAATAAAAACTATTTAAACGTATATACATGTAGATGCATGCAGCTTGATTTGGGTTTAAAATCGTTAGATTTTATCTTAATCAATTGCATACAATAAATTTATATTAAAAGCTAGATTTCAATGTAGGCTTTTATTACTAATCAGTGCCATAACAAAATGAGTATTTTTTGGAGATTTACCGCAAGTCCTTAGTCCAGTAATGACCGTCACATGCTTCTTCTTGCTCCTTAACTGCTGACTTATATTAATGGACCTGGTTACTTCCTACACACATGTAGTAAAGAAAATGCTATTAACACCCTGTACTACATGTATTATGGCCCATGGTTTTTTCATCCCCAAATTTTTATTACATTTTCTGATACATATTGACGTACTTATGCTATGTAGAAAGTTTGAGCCAATTCCGACTTCAATTTTTCAAGTTATAAATAAACTCCAAATTTTGGAAAAATACCCTGTACTATATAGCCCATGGTTTTTTCCAAAAAATGACTCAGAAATCATGGCATCCCCAATTTTTATTACATTTTCTGATGCATATTGATGTACTTATGCTACGTAGAAAGTTTGAGCTGATTCCGACTTCAATTTTTCGAGTTATGCCTATTAAAAAAAAACTCCAATTTTTTGAAAAATACCCTGTACTATAGCCCATGGTTTTTTTCCAAAAAATGGCTCCGAAATCACCTCCAATTTTTATTACATTTTCTGATACATACTGATGTACTTATGCTGTGTAGCAAGTTTAAGCTGATTCCAACTTCAATTTTTTGAGTTATGACCATTAAAAAAAAAACTCCAATTTTTTGAAAAATACCCTGTACTATAGCCCATATTTTTTTCCAAAAAATGGCTCCGAAATCAACTCCAATTTTTATTACATTTTCTGATACATACTGATGTACTTATGCTGTGTAGCAAGTTTGAGCTGATTCCGACTTCAATTTTTCAAGTTATGACCATTTTAAAAACTCCAATTTTTTGAAAAATACCCTGTACTATAGCCCATGGTTTTTTCTAAAAATGGCTCCAAAATCACCTCTAATTTTTATTACATTTTCTGATACATATTGATGTACTTATGCTATGTAGAAAGTTTGAGCTGATTCCGACTTCAATTTTTCGAGTTATGACCATTTAAAAAAAACTCCAATTTTTTGAAAAATACCCTGTACTATAGCCCATATTTTTTTCCAAAAAATGGCTCCGAAATCAACTCCAATTTTTATTACATCTTCTGATACATATTGATGTACTTATGCTACGTAGAAAGTTTGAGCCAATTCCGATTTCAATTTTTTGAGTTATGACCATTTAAAAAAAACTCCAAATTTTAAAAAATACCCTGTACTATAGCCCACAGTTTTTTTTCAAAAATCAGCTCTGAAATTTTTAACATATATTTTCTAATACATACAAATGCCCTAATGCTATGTATAAAGCCAATTAGAGAGTTATGGGTAGTCAATTTTAATTATTTGCCCAATCCAGTTTATAAATGCAAATTTGGCGCACAATTATTAATTTTATTTAAATTACCTTTTTCTTTGGTTTCTTTATTCCTTTTCCTCCTCTTGATTGTTTCTTTCCACTGACAGCAAGTCCACTAACGCCTTCACAAACTACAAGTTTTAATAAGAATAATAATAACAACAATAAATAATAACAATAAAATTTAATTTTATAGTCCACATGTAGATACCTTTCTCAACTAGTCTTGAATAATAGCTAGGCAGGTGTATCTTCATCCATTCATGACATTGAGCCGTCGTGGGGCTGTACTCACAATACTACATGAATTTGGCCAAAATAAAACAAAAACAATTTGTACCATACCTCAGGTGGCATTCCACAGACTAAAAAATAAATGAAAAGTGTTAAAAAAATTTTTTTAAATTATTTTTGACTTGCCTCCACAATATTCAACCTGCAGAGGGTAGCTGACGGCCTCAGATTCTTCCTCTTGTTGATCTACATCATCATTTGGGGGATCTGTTGCTGCCGCCATGTTTTTAGCCACTCCCTTCATACCACACGTGGGTGGTTGAGGCGCCCCCATTTTGAGATTCGTCATTTCTCCTTATAAGGAAGGAAGTCCAGATTGTTGCCATGGCGAGGACCAATGAGAACACACCAGCCGCGCCCATTTCTCTGTGTACGCAAATCAGCCACTCCCTTCTTTAATATTAATTTTTTGTTTTTTGAAGACAACAAGACACCCTCTCTCACCCTCTTTCAGTCTTCTCTTCCATTCAAAACCGCTAAGAATGCCTATTGGAAAGATAAGCTCTACCGCCGGAAAGGGAGCCGATTACTCCGCAGGAGCTCAAGGCATCCAACACGCCACAGGGCAAAGTAAAGCAAAGACTATCTCTCCTCCTCCATTTTATTCTGTCCATCTTTGTAGGCGGTGGCAAGGCCGAGGCTGGCTATCAGAAATCATCTGCCACTCACTCATATGGGGCAGGAGCAGTAAACGAAGAGGCAAAGCTACAGACTCCTAAAGTAAAGGAGAACTTGGGATACGCCAAGAGCGAGCTTGCCGGGCAGAGCAATTATGGCGCCGGTGCTGTTGGCGTAGAACTGGCGACTAACGCTCCGAAGATAAAGCACGAGGGGCTTGGACAAGTAGACAAGAAGCAAGAAATGGTTCATGATAAGAAGGGCAGTGTGGACATGGGAGATGATGACCAATAATGACAGCAACAAAATGGAACATTCTCTCCTTACACTCTCTCACACACACAATAGCTGTACAATGCTCCTTTTGTTTTTTTCCTGTATTTGAGTTTCGTTGTAGCTTGTACTGTTTTAGGCAGATTTTATATAATAATAGTTTTTCTCTTTAACTAAATAATATTAAGTATAAACATTAAATTGAAACAAAATCTAAGTAAACGTGTTTATTTAAAGCATTCACAGTTATAGTTAGTGATATTAAGCAGAACTTGAAACTCAAAAGCTACATACACATCTTCAATACATCAATCAGTTTTCCCCAACGTGTGACATAAAGATAATTTAATCTTATCATAATCATAATCATGTTATATTGAATACAGTACATACCTCCAAACCAATTAGACTCACCCCATGATACTCCAGTGTACTAATTACCACTGTTGCCTCTCTAAACATGGCTAATGGGTCAATGGTGAAGAATAACTACACCATTAAAACAGTGGGCCAGTTATGTATATTTTATAATGCTTATAGTATAAACCATAAAGGTGGGGTAGAGAAGTGCCATAACCCATTTTTATGTAACCACAGGCCATGCATAATAATGAATCCAGTCCACATACACAGCCTGTGAATACATTAACTATTGTGTTTGTCACTGTATAGATTTTCTATGTGCATTCATTTCAGTAAAAACATGCAAAGCACATGATGTTGTTCACAAATGACTAAAATGGATACTACAGTAGTTTCTCATTAGACTATTATCATTATCATAAAAGGTATTGGGACACATGTTTCTGTTGTCATTGCTCCTTTATTCACTCACTACATGACCTTGCTTGCTCTACATTGTACTCATACCATGAGTATTGTTTATCTGATACAACTGAACAGCAGTTATAAGGCTTCAAGGGCAAGCATGCTTGAAAGTTAACACTATGCTGATTGTGCCATTTTGCACTATCTTTACTCTTACAGAGCTTCAACTGGCAACACTTCCCTCTGCCTTGCAATGAGAGGGAAAAAAACAAACATGCAAACTTCCTAATATGGCAATGATTTTGATGTGGTGCGGAAGCTTTTTTAAAGGATTATTATGTTTTTGATATGCAGATTGCAAAACCAAGAAAATTTATTTTGGCTTTGTGTCCTTTTGCAAATGTAGACATGGACATATTTAGCCACATGTACTCGCATTTTTAGTTTATAGTTTAGCTATCATAATAATCATTATTATGATAGCTAAACTATAAACTCTCTGGCTCAGTTATATGAAAAAGAGTACTGTCCAGTCAAAATTCAACATTTTAGTTTTTTTGGAAAAAAAAACAGAAAGAGGGGTGAAGCATCGTTTATTATTATTATTATTCAACACTTGAATCAGAGTCACTAGTATATGAACGAGATCTCTTTCGTGATGGAGGCGATCTATTCCTCCTTCTTGGAGGACTGTCCCTCCTGTATCTCTCATGGGATCTATTCCTCTGTCGCCTTGAAGGTGAACTGGGCTGCTTTATTCTCCTTATTGGTGACCTGTCACGCCCTCTAGAAGGTGAGTGACCACGTCTCCTCGCTGGAGATTGTGGAGGTGATGACGACCTCTTTCTCTCTCTTCTTCTTCTTCTTTCTTCAGGTGATTGCTGTCTCCTCCTCACTGGAGATGCTGGAGGTGATGACGACCTCTTTCTCTCTCTTCTTCCTCTTCTCTCTTCGGGCGATTGCTGTCTCCTTCTCACTGGAGATGCTGGAGGTGATGACGACCTCTTCCTCTCTCTTCTTCCTCTTCTTTCTTCAGGTGATTGCTGTCTCCTCCTCACTGGAGATGCTGGAGGTGATGACGACCTCTTTCTCTCTCTCCTTCCTCTTCTTTCTTCAGGTGATTGCTGTCTCCTCCTCACCGGAGATGCTGGAGGTGATGATGACCTCTTTCTCTCTCTCCTTCCTCTTCTCTCTTCAGGTGATTGCTGTCTCCTCCTCACCGGAGATTGTGGAGGTGATGACGACCTCTTTCTCTCTCTCCTTCCTCTTCTCTCTTCGGGCGATTGCTGTCTCCTTCTCACTGGAGATGCTGGAGGTGATGACAACCTCTTTCTCTCTCTTCTTCCTCTTCTCTCTTCAGGCGATTGCTGTCTCCTCCCTTTCCTCTGTACAGGTGAACGTTGTCTTCTAACAGGAGAATGTGGCGGTGATGAAGAAGACCTCCTTCTCTCTCTTCTCTCATCAGGTGAGCTGGATTCTTGTCGCTTTCTTAACGGAGACAAAGACGATCTCTTTCTCTCTCTCCTTCCTTTCCTCTCTCCAGGTGAGACTTGTCTTCTTCTTGGTGGCGAACTCGACTCTTGCGGTTTATTTCTTTGTGGCGGTGAAGGAGAAGGATCATGGTGACGTTGAGGAGAAGGATTCCTTTTATTTAATCTTTGGTTAGGTTCGGGAGAATTGTGTCTGCCTCCTCTCTGTCTGGCTGTCTCTCTATGATGATCCTTTCCATTCCTTCTCTCTCCCTCATCTTCAGAGGAGCTGCTATGGCTGCCGTCAGATACCTCCTTCTTCTTTCTTCTTTTCTTATCTTTTGGTGAATTGCCAGATTCTTTTTTACCAGCACGCTTCTTTGCCTCCTTCCCTTTGCTTTCACTAATAAAAATAAATAATAATAAATAAAAATAAATAATAATAGATAAAAATAAATAATAGATGTATGTATTTCTTACCCTTTCTGTTTCTCTCTCTTTCTTTTCCTTTTCTTCCTTTCATCATCAGAGTCTTCACTATCTGATTCTGAACTAGAGCCACTGCAGAAACAAAAATTATACTCATAATTAAACTAAAATCATAATAATTATAAAGATAATTATAAAATACATGTGAGTAATCTCCTTTTATATTGCTACATTTTACCTGTCATCATCACTGCTTGAGCTGCTCTCCACTTTCTTCTTCTTTCTCATCTTTTTCGCTTCCTTTTCCCTCAACCTACCGAAACTAAAATCAACTCAAACCACACTCATTACTCACTTAGCTTCAGCTGCTGCTCTCTCAGCTTTCAATTTCTCCCTCTCTGCCTCCTCCTCCTCTCTCTTTGCTTTCCGTTCGGCAACTTTAGCTTGTTGTTCCAAGAAATCGAAGGCACTCCCCCCAACGTAGTCCTTTGATATGCCAAAGGCCTGGCGAATGTTTTCGTTCCTTTTTTCCATTTCAACGGCAAGATGGTGAGAGTCCATCATACCAGGTAGCGCTTGATACCCGTCGGCTAGTAGCTTCTGACGCAACGCTTCGACTTCTCTCTCTATCTCTGCAGGATCACATCTTTAAAAGATTATAATAGTTAATTATATTTTTTGCTAAAAAAATAATAATAGTGTGGAGTGGTCTGGGAAAAGTGACCTTAAGTCTATAGAGTTAAAGGCGATTTTCTCAGACCACGTATCATGATTATTAAATATAGGTGTGGTCTTCTTGTTAAGACCACGCCCACCATCACTAATCCCTTACTTTTCTTCTTCCATTGTTTCTCTCAGTTCAAGGCACTGTAGCTCTATCTTTCTCTTCCAGTTGTGCTCCATGAGCTCTTTGTTTGGAGCTTTGTGTAGCGTCCTTTCCAGTCTCGCCAGGTCCTCCTCGCTGTTGTACTCGACCTTGTCCTTTCTCGTACGCATGAACGCCATGTTCCTCTGTACGTAGCCATTTGTGCCCGAGCCTCGGGCCGTCTGTAGTCCAATACCATTGTACATGGTCAAAATAATGGAAAAATAAAGACTCTCTTAAAAGCAGCGCTCTGCTCGTTGTTCCGGAGTAGATTACGGGAATATACGTGAATTTAATTAAGGTGTGGGTGTGGTTAGGGAAATTTATTAAAAAACATTATTCTTGAAATAGTTTATAGATAATAATAATAATAATAATAATTAATACTGCAGGATTTGAGAGAGAGATCAGCCTGATCTATTGCATTTTAAGCACCTAAACGAAAAATAATAAAAAAGTTACCATATCATAAATCAATAAATAAAAAATGACTACCATTATTAAAATTATTATTTTAATCAATATAGTATCTACTGTACCTTGATAAACCCCTGACTGTTAGCTGCCACTATGCTAGAGGAATCCTAACAGAAAAAAATAACATACTATTTTCAAGCTTGCCATCTCACTGACCTTTCTGCTACACACTGCTGAGACAAATTCAGATCCTTCATCTGACCTCTGTTCATTTACTGAAGGCTATTAATTAATAAGATAATAAAAATAATAGCATTCTACCAATAGCGAGGCTTACTAGAATGTTTCGAGATATCTGAAATTTGTAGTTTAAGATTGGCTTGCTAACAAACTTTTGATATACGTAAAAAGAATTATTTTCAGAACCTAGAAATAAAATATAGTTATACAATTACTAAAATTTTTTAGTGATCAGTCATACAAAATTTGTCTGTACTTACCGCAAGTTATGTATCCATTATTTACCGAGAGACCAACAAAATTCTTATCATTGACATGACCTTTGAAGGTTCTGAGACAGCAGCCAGTGTCTATAGACCAAAGCTTTAACTCACTGTCAGTGGAGCTGGAGTAGAGAGAGAGGGAGAGAGGGAGAGAGAGAGAGAGTGAGTGAGGGAGAGAGGGAGAGAGAGAGAGGGAGTGAGAAAGAGAAAGGACAGAGGACATACGCTGATACAAGTTCTTTCTCGTTTAGAAATTGTACATAAGAGACAGCTTTCTTGTGTCCGTGGAGTAACATTAGTGGCTCATTCAGTTTCCGAATATCAGCAATCCTTATGATATGATCTGTATGTAATCATAAGCACAATAATTTCCAAAAATTACAATCTACATGTACATGTACATGCTACACAACACATGTGATGCATTCAATTATATCAAATTTGATATAATACAAAGCAAGACTAGATCATGCAATAAAATTCTTGGACTATAAAACTCTCCTGCTACATGTACATGTAGACATAAAGGCATCTAAAATACATGTACGTGTAACTAAGATCATAAAATACCTTAGGGTGGGTATTAATTGCGCTCTTAAATTTTAGCATTTTTAAGGGGACCCTGATTTAGCGAAATGTAATATTAGCGAAAATAGGAAGAAAATCAATGGTGAAACTCCCATTCAATAGCATAACACTACTCAAGAAGCCCAATCTATACATTTAAGAGCAGAACACTCAAAAGGATCACCCTATCTACTGTTATCTTGTTACAGATCTTGCCTATCTTGTGTACTTGTTTACACAAGTACATAATAACTATTATTAGCGACTGGTTGAATTAGCGATTTGAAGTACACTCGCTAAAAACGCTAAAATTAAGTGTCGCAATTAATACCGACCCTAAGGTATGCTGCTTACATGTACATGTACATGCAGTAGTCTTTCTTCTGGCTCTTAGTACATGTACAGCATAAGAATTATATAAATCTGACACATTCCCCCTTCAATAGTACAATTCAATACAATAGACGATCAAGTATGCTTACCTGCACTCCCATAGGCTAGTGTGTACTTGTTCTTTGGCTGAAACCTCACGCTGCATACATTGGCTAGAGTTGGTACACACTGGACACTCTGCCCAACCTCCAGGTGCCACAACTTGAGACAGCAGTCGTCGCCTCCGGTCGCTAATAGAGAAGTGTCGTACTGATTATAACTGACCGACCACACCCTCTTCTCGTGTTCCTAGAGAAAGAAAAGGACAATTAAATTATGTGTAGAAATACATGTACATGTACAAACTACAAATCAAAGTTCATCCTGTACTATAATATAACAGAGTATTTTGTCAAAAATGACTAGAAGAGAAATCTTCATTTTAATTTTTTTCTGATACACATACATGTTCTTATGCCGTGTAGCAAGTTTGAGCTAGCTGATTCCAGATCAAAATTGGATTTTTACAAATTTTAAAACTTCCATGTAGTACAGGGACTTTGGTCAAATTTATCAAAAACCACTAAGAAAGAATTCTCCATTTTAGTTACATTTTCTGATGCATATACATGAACACATCTCAAATTTTTACTTGATAATTCCTAGTACATTTCATCTGGTGGCAATCCCATATGGACAGTGTACCATCATAGTCACTCGTAGCTAACTGCGGCTTTATATAAGGACTGTAAGCAACTGAACTATAATAATAATAATAATAACAACAACAACAACAAATATTATTATTACTAAAAAATTAACAATCATTTTTGGTACCTTATTTTAGCATGACAAGGTATCTCTCTCACTGGGTAGTGAATGGTTGGGAACATCCTAGCCTCCGTCACAGTATTGTAATCAAATATCTGCAAAATGATAGCATTAGAAAGAATCAGCCATTCTATCAATTCATATGTATATCTACATGTACATCTATCTCTTTCCCTTCCTCTCTCTCTCTCCCCCCTCCCTCTCCCTCTCTCTCCCCCTACCTCCCTCCCTCCCTCTCTCTCCCCCTACCTTCACTTTCTTTGTCACTCCACCAACAGCAAAGAAGTCTCCATCCTTATCAAACTCAATGCTGGAGACAATACTGCTTGATCCAATGGGCCCATCAGCATAAGTGAGAGTAGCCAGTTCTTTAAAGGAGGAATACTGAGTGACGGCAGACAGGGTCTCACGAAAAGCAGTAGAACCTTCAGACCTGTACGTGTACAGTATATTAACAGTACATAATGTAATTGTATTAGAATTAGAAAGCACAGACAAGTAAAAATAACTACATTGAATGTGCTGTACTTATTTCATTTATTCATAAACATAAGCACTCAGGGTTTCCCATAAAGCATGCTAAGTGAGCTAAACAGCATCCTTCATGAGCTGACAAGCAGTTAGAAGCATATTGTATACACTGCATAGAATTTGGAGCAACTTCAAAAATTTATAAAAAAATCAAAACTCGACCAGAATCAGCTCAAACTTTCAACACAACATAAGAACATGTATATGTATCAGAAAATATTATAAAAATTAAGAATTCTCTCTTTTCATTTTTGGTAAAATTTGGTCAAAGTCCCTGTACTATAGTACAGGGACTTTGACTTGCTTTTGGAGCAACTTGATAATCCACTGACAAGAAACTCTAGAAGGCATCAAAATCCTGTGGGGCCCTGCATGTGCTTTATTCTTGAGTCAATCCTTACCTCATTACTGTTGAGTCAGTGCTTGATGGTCCACTAATCGAAGGGACAGAGTCCAATGATGTCTCTGGAGGAACAAAAGAAGAAGAAGATCCACTGGAGACAGAAGAAGAGGAGGAAGGAACCAAAGAGTCAGTATTGAGACCAGAAGAAGAGAGATGAGAATTGACTGAAGGAGAGAGAGAGAGAGGGGGGAGGGGGAAAGAGGGGGGGAGAGAGACGAATTAAAGACAATTACATTGTAAGTTGAAGGAGGAGAGAAAAGAAAGAGAGAAGTGGTAACACTGTGCATGTAAACACATGTTACCGTATACATGTAACACATTTAAATAAATGTTAAATGTGTTATTCAATTGTTTTTATTTCTACCTGTAAATTTGAAGTATGCCTGTTGAAGGTCGTCAATGTTAGAGTACATCTGCTGCTTCCTTTGTATGACACATCTCTAATAAAATAATAAATAAAATAAATTAGGTAATTAATACTGTGTAAATAAAAATCCTTTACCTTTCCTTCTTCAGATAGAGGGGCAGTGTCTTTCGTTCTAGATAAAACCTGGATATCTTCGGATAAAGTGCTGAGTTCAGTTGTTACTCTCTCTAATTCCTGAGAGAGAGAGAGAGAGAGAGGGAGAGAGAGAGAGAGAGAGAGAGAGAGGAGGGGGAAGAGGATAAAGAAAATATCATATCAACACTGCACCATTTCTTTTGCTTTCTTAGACTCGATCAAAAACTCATTGAAAACGGAATCTTCAACTTTATTTTCCTCCTACACACACACACACAGGAAAACAAAAAAGAAATCAAGCAATCAACAATTCAACATACATGTATATGTACCACATTTCAAAATAATAATTAAAAGTCTAAAACAACTAAACTACTTAAAAACAAAACCTCTTATTTCAATATTAAACAATACTTATTAATCTTATAACACTAAAACAGGTGCTGCCTTCTCGCCTAGTGTTAATGTGCTTTAATTAGAACTTACAAAGATGGCCGCCGCACGTAAAGCAACAGTGATACACGTACTAAGTGTGTATATGCTATAAACCATCATAGTGCCTAGTGTCCCAGTCAGATACATATAAATTGTAAATTTCTTCATTTTCTCTCTCACTAATCTATTAGTCTGACTCAACTAGGGACTAGGCTTATAATCTATATACATTATGCAGCCCTTTTAATATCTCTGTCCTCTCGGGTGGCCGGAACCTATAACTGCAATCAAAGTTGTTATGTGTATAGGACCCGGTGTAGAGAGGGAAAGGAGAAAGGGTGGAGAAAATAATAATGATAATAATAATAATAATAATAATGATGATAAATATAGTAATTAAAAGGCTTTATGATGATAATAATGACAATGATAATCATAATAATTAATAAATAAAATTTAATTGTGACAAGAACTGTAACTGTATAGGATAGCTAGTTTTGTATTGGACATACTTTCTTATTCAAGTCAATTTGAGACGATATTTGCTCATTGAGAGCTATGAGGTCTAGGGGGAGAGAGGGGAAGGAGAGAGGGAGGGAGAGAGAGAGAGAGAGAGAGAGGGAGGGAGAGAAAGGAAGGGAGAGAGAGAGGGGGGAAGAGAGCCACAAGAGAAGTGGAAGCATACAATCCAGAGGACATGACATAACAGTACAAATGAAACACTTACGATTAGGTTTTAAATTCTTTACCATCTGCAGCACGTTACCATAATAAGCATCATACTAAAATAATAATAATAATTAATATTAAAGTTAGTTAGTTAATTAAAGTTAACTAACTGATAGAGAAGCATCGTGGTGAGTCTCTTGAGATCTTATCTTAGCGACAATGTCATTCACTAAAAATTAAAAAAAAATAATAATAAATTGCACATGTACATGTATTGTATTTATATTGTATTTAAAGGGTCTCACGTGAGAAATTAGGAGCGAACCCACTGTCACGTGATAGTTTGGTACCACAGATTGGGCACTGTTGGGTCTGAGCAATTGACTTGTGTATACACTCATGACTAGAAGAGAGAGAGAGGGGGAAGGAGGGAGAAAGACACAAATAAATAAATCAATAAATATATGTCACGTACCAGAAGCTGTGTCCACATACGGTTACCTGCACACTCGTGAAAATATCAAAGCAAACAGGGCTATAATTATAATAACATATTTTTTGGTAAAATTCAAAATGGCTCCTGTACTAAGTTACCATATCACGTCACTCTTTGACAGTTTCTCTTCTCCCACTTGGTCCCTACGGAGTCTCTTGCGTGACTGATTCATTGATAACAAGGATGCTTCGTTTAGGACTCAGGAAATAATCTCCACTGGGGTTCTGTGAAAGAAGAAATGGCTGAATGCACGTTGGACTGTTGACGCACTCAGTAAATTTCCGCTTTGGTTAATGGGCGTGGTCGGTTAACGCATATACATGATGTAAGATTGGATTAAAAATCAAATCAGAGTAATGAATACGCCCCATTGCAAGTATCACAGCAACTCATCAACAACGCATACATGATGTAAGATTGAATTAAAAATAAAGCAATTCTCTTGACAAATATAATTGATAACATCATAACATGTTTCCTAGAATCTCTTGGCTATGCGATATAAAAGATACAAACTCGCGCCACCGGCAATTACTGCAAAGTACCCTTGAAAAAATGGACTGAGAAGTAAAGATCTGAGGGAAAAACCAGAAGAAGGATTCCTCCTGCCACTTCGCTCGCTGACTTGAGATAAAACATGAGTGGTGACAGTCAATTTCTCAAGCCTATTCCGTTGGTCATCATTAATCTCTCTGTTTATCAGCTCAAAGTAAAGGTAGACGAAATGTTTGCAGTATTCCAGACAGTCGCTTTGCAGCAAGAGGTAGTTCTTGTCAGCAATCATTGCCATTATGACATTCATGGCTTTGAGCGAGAGAGTCAGTGTTCCAATATAGAGACAGTAGTCAAACTCTGGGTCTCTTCCAGCTAGATCCACAACATCAGGCTGTACATAATATTTGTCATCTTCATCTAGAACAATATGGTATCTTCGTATTTTTGTATCTTCCTTTAGGCATTCTCCAATATCAAAAGGGCTGACAAATTCACAGCCCAAAAGGTCGACGTTTCCAAGGTGTTTTTCCTCTACAGCCCAAATTGCAGCATGCGTGTTGTGCACAATAAGAAAATACACCCAGTCGGGCCAGGTTTGTTCGGGTTCACTCTTGATGCGAGGGTGCTCGCGCAAGCCGTCGTATCTCCTGTTCAGCACGTCCCAAACAATGTCCATCACCTCTCTGTCGAATCCAGATTTAATTTCACCTTGCTTATTCAACCCTAGCTTTTCCTCAAGTCTTCTTCTTCTCAAATTCTGTGCCGCCATAATGACAAGATCGAGATTATTGATTTTGTTGTTGTTGTTATCTGGGCTTGGGTGTGGTTGGCTGTAATGGGGCGGGGCTTGTTCCTTGCAATAATTTTGCTGCTCCATCTAAAACCAAAACTCATTTTCTCTGATTATTGTTATACAGAGCGGGATTGTGCCGTAATGGAAGAGAAGACGATGAAGAGCATCAGTCACAACACTTCAGACGCCTCCCTCAGGCTAGTGAACGACACTACAGTACCGCCATTGAAGGAGGGGGACGTACTAATCAAAGTGAAGCATGAATAGACTTGAAATGATGAATATTTTAAAATTTCATTCCAGGTTTCTGCTGCTGGAGTGAATCGTCTTGACTTGTTGCAAGTGAGAGGATTGTATCCACCTCCACCTGGAGAATCGGAAATATTAGGAGTAGAAGGTATCAAATCTGAAATTTATGTCATAATATTGATAATCATCGTTTTTTAGTTTCTGGTACAATAGTGTCTCTGTCTCCATTGGCTGGGTCTAATTCAGGATTTAAGATTGGCGATCGAGTCATGGCTCTTATAGGTGGAGGAGGATATGCAGGTTAATTAACCATTAACTAATAACTACTGGTTATATTATTTTACTCGTAGAATATTGTACGGCTCCGTATCAGTGTGTGATGCCAATACCTCAGTCACTGAGTTTCAATAAAGCAGCCGCAATTCGTAAGTTAAAAATTTAATTATTTTTGTTGCTTGAAGTAGCAGCCAATATGACTACAGAGAGTTCTAAATTAAATAAATTTTCTTTGTCATAAATAATATTAAAATCCTGCAATAAAATGTCTTTAATGCTGTACTTTAGCAGCTTTAGCTAAAAGGACCTCCCTTACATTTAAAACTATTAATAAAATAATAATAATAATACTTCAATCTATACAATATTTTGATCTAATTTATTGTTCTATGACAGCTGAAGCATATTTGACTGCCTACCAAGGTTTAGTGTGGAATGGCGACCTACAGGATAATCAGACAGTACTGATACATGCTGTAAGCGGCTTATAATCACACAAAGGTCACAGTATTACTTATATTAGGGGGCAAGCTCAGTTGGATTAGCTGCTATTCAGTTGGCTAGGGTACTGCGAGAGGGCGTGGTTGTTATAGCCACTTCAAGGACAGAGGAGAAGCTAGTGCAGTGTACAGAAAATGGAGCACATTTTGTCATTAATTCAAAAGAAAAAGACTTTAAGGAGGAAGTTATGAGAATCACCGAAGGAAAAGGTAGACAAAAAATGTGAATAAAGTCAAAAAACTTTGTTACCTAATTTTTCTCTCTTCTTCACTCTCCCTCCCTCTCTCTCTTTTTAAATAGGTGTTGATGTAATTTTAGATTTCATAGGTGCGTCATATTGGGATAATAACATAGCTTCATTAGCTACTGATGGTCACATTGTACTATTAGGAATGGTATTACTAATAATGATAATAATAATAGTATTTAATTGATGTATGTGTAGTTGGGTGGAGTAACCACGCCCTCTCCGGTTAATCTCGGCCTCTTGCTCAAGAAGCGTTTGACTGTTAAAGGCTCAACTTTAAGGAGTAGGTCGTTACCATATAAGGAGAAGCTAGTATCAGAGGTAAAGAGCATCAATTTTTTGTACTTTAAAGTAATTTTAATTAACTCAAAAATTTATATCGAACATAAGTACAAGAATTATCTGTCAAAAATTATAAAAATGGAGAATTGTCTGCTAGTAATGTTTTGGCAAAATTTGGCCAAAGACCTAGCTGTACAGGGACTTTGGTCCAATTTTTGAGCAACTTAAAAAATTCGTAAAAAATCCAAATTTGATCAGAATCAGCTTAAACTTTCTACACAACTTAAGAACATGTATACGTATCAGGAACAATTATAAAATGGAGAATTTTTTACTTTTCATTTTTCATGAAATTTGACCAAAATCCCTGTACTATAGTACAGGGACTTTGGCCTGATTTTTGAGCAAATTAAAAAATTCATAAAAAATCAAAATTTGATCGGAATCAACTCAAACTTTCAATGCAACATATGAACATGTATATGCATCAGAAAAAATTATAAAAATAAAGAATTCTCTCCTAGACATTTTTGACAAAATACCCTATACTACATGCCATGGTCTTTGGCAAAATTTTTGAGCAACTTTAAAATCTAAATTTGATCGAAATTAGCTCATATTTTAACATATACTTTGTATTAATTTCTTTGTATCTATTCCATAGCTCAGTGCTAATGTCTTGCCTTTATTTACAAGTGGAAAGGCATGGCCCATTGTGGACAGTGTATTCCCAATGGAGGATGCAGCAAAGGCTCACAAAAGAATGGCAGACAATGCTAATAAAGGAAAAATAATACTGACTCTCTCTTCTGATGACTAAAAAGATAAAGATACAATAATAAACTTTTGTTAGTTTTAAATCTTGCTTACTTTGAAATGACGTTAAAAATTAATCATCTCTTTAAAACATGATCTTTCAATAATTATAGTTATTTGGCATCCAAAAAACTCAATAATAACAATAATATTATCATTGATAATGATCAATAATGGCAACAATTTTTAGATGAAAAAATATTAACAATAATATTAATAATAAATTATAATTGCAGTTAGCTTTAAGATGCCTGCTTTCTCCTACCTGTAAACTCAAGTCATATCATGTGACAATCATGTGGCACTTACCATAGCCTCCTCCTTTAGTGGATGGGAATGTAAGACCACCTCCTCCTATCACTATATATACAGAAACCAATCATCATGTGACTAATAGTCATGTGATATCTTACTCCAGCCTGGGCCTTGCTTGACTTTAAGCAGCTCTTCATGATGATCAGCTACAGTACCTATCTATGAAGAGACAAATGAGAGAGGGGGGAGAGAGAGAGAGGGAGGGAGAGAGAGTAAGTAAAGAGAGACAAAGCAAATATCTACCTTCTCTGCCAGATTCAAAGCCAGACTCTGTAGCTTGGTAGGTTTAGCGTGATGCATCACAACACACTGAGTGGGTTCATCCAGCGATGCCTGATAATCACATGAGACTCACATGATCTTAATAAGACGGACTCACCAATAGCTCCTCCTTTATTATCATTCGACTGATGATACTATGAACTGTGGCTAGTGGTAACTCAAACATCTCGGACAAGCGATGGAGACTAAGAGTACATGTACAATAAAGGAGTATGTCATGGGAGCATCATGTGATGGTTAATGTTACCTTAAAGAATCATATACAGATCCGTATGTGAATATGTATGTACGCAGTGTCTCTTCTTGGATCTTACTGGAGTGTGAAGGAAGAGAGAGAGAAAAAGAAGATATACAAGTTATTGTCACTTGTATATGTACCGTAGAGCGCAAAATTTTCAAGGGCTGTAAATCATGTGGATTTTGTAATTTTTTGAAAATTCGCAAAAAATTACTACTGCGAAAATTCAATTATTATGGTACAAGACGGCATAAATTTGCAAAAATAATGTACATTTTAAGGCAAATTTGTGAAATTTACAGTCCTCGAAAATTTTGCGCTATATGGTATTAACCTAGTCAGCATTGCCTTCACTTCTTCAACATTAGTAAAGAGGTTCCAAGCCTACAGATGTACATGATAAATGTATAATAATAATTTAAATCAATACTTTAATATTCAATAAATAATCCCTGGCTTGGATCCAGTTTCCCTTCTTCATTGAGTTGGCTGCAGCGACCACGTGTTCCCTCATGGTCTCGGGAGGGCCTGGTGATCAAAGGGTTAAAAATTAAAGGGTTAATAATTTGTACCAACTAGCGGCTGTTTCTCGTGGTTCTTGAGCTGATGGTAAAAACCTTTGGATATCATCCTACGCCTTCCCTCCGTCTCAGTAGCTAGAAAAAATTTAAAAAAATAATAATAATACTGTATATATCAACTATACAGCGAGTCATTATTTAATTTATTTTCCCTGGCTCAAAATTTTCACAAATTTATCCACCAATCTACCCAAAAAAACACTGATTTTAATTTTAAAATTTTCTAGATTCTTCGTATACGTAAATTTTATATGCATTAATTTTCAAAAATTTCAAAAATTTTTGAATAAAAAACTCTCTCCCTCTCACCTGCCATATAAGGTATTTCCAGTAGCATTGCTGAAGTGAGGTAGACGCACTCCATCAGCTCCAGGTTGATGTGCATGTGGAAAGGAACCTGTCTCCTCCTCTCCAACTTCTCCTGCTCTAACGTACGATCGGGACGAGGAGTTAAACCCTAAAAAATAATAATAAATAATAATACAAAAAATGTATACATGTACATGTACATGTACGTGAATTGTAGATAAAAAGAAATTTAATTTAGACTGTAATGTTGGGAAATATTTACATGTATATCTTGAGATACATATCAGTATTCAGTACACATATCTTTTACATGTATGTAAATTGGCCTAAGAAGACACATGTATTCGTACATACATGTACATGTACATGTATCACCGTAAATCTACATGTACATGTAAATCTACATGTACATGTATATGTACATGTACATTACCCACCTGTGCTAATAGTTCTTTTGCTAGTTCCTTTGCTTTAGTTTCTTTGCTACGAGAAGGAGAGTGTATGTCCATTAGTGTCTCATGGCTCTCCTTTATCATCCCGTGCCTGAAGGCACACATACCCAACTGGACTATGGTACGATTGTACAGTATCTGCAAGAGAATGACAATAAAATGAAATCTGTAATGGTGACACAAAATAACTAATAACTTTCTTTCCACACTCAATAGCTCTAGTATTGTATCTTTCAATTAAAAGCAATTTAAATTTAAAGCAATACTAAATAACTCCCATACTCATACTCTCAATTTAATTCCCATACGCTCAAACTTCCATACTCATACTCTGGTACCTGCGTGGGCACATCAGCGTGCTGTATCCCCTCCTGCAGGTGGCTCATTAGCATTAGATCACGAGCCTCGAACCAGCGATTGTGCAAGGCGTGATGATAAATGTGACACAAAACAGCTCTAGTCTTTATCGGCCCGAGATCAATCCCGGGATAATTATAAATGAATTTAGCGAGTTTTGCAATCAACTGGGCGGAGTTGAGCTCCTCCCCTTCCTCTGTAGCCTGTGAGACTGGCTTGCCGTAATTATCCCTATCAACCTAGAGGTCAAAGGTTAATTATATGCATGCATGCGTGGACTTGTGCATGCACGGGTCACCTTGTAGTAGAGATGGTCAATCCTCATTATGTATATTCTGCAGAGGTTGGCATCTTCTGTGGCTGTGGACTGCTTCTCAAGATATTTTAAAGTACGATCAACAATGTCTGTAACCCTTCTCTCGGCTTGTAGCCTGAGAGAGAGAGAGAGAGAGAAAGAGAGAGAGAGATGACAAGGAAAAGAGAAGTTAGGGGCTTACCGTATAGCAGGAAATATTTGCGGGGAATTAAATTTTGCGAGTTTGCGATTCCATTTAAAGCGCAAAATTTAAATCCGCAAAATAATGAAATTCATGCATGACCACAGTAGATAATGCTACAATAACTGTCAAAGCCGCAAATATTTAATCTGCAAACCAGGTTATTTTTAAGGATTCGCAAAATTTTTCTCCGCAAAATTAACCAGCTGTACGGTATTCATAAACTAAATTTGAATTTACTTGGTCAAATAATCAGTTGAGTGGGCGTCAGTGCTTTGTAATATTTTAATGAACTCTTCGTTCATCCTTTCCAAATACGCCAACAAGTTACCCTGCAACTTAAGAGGACGAGAAAGATCCTACAAAAACAATAATAATAACATTAAATAAAATTATTCGAGCCACACCCACTTACGGTGTAATTTATGTCTTCATCAGGTAACAATGGATTCATTTCAAGCGACGGATTGGACTCGAGCAACTGAAGAACCTTCACTAAATAATCTAAAGCACTAGAGAGACAGAAAAGAAGGAAGAATGATAAAGATTAAATCCATTTTTAATTTTTTTCTCACAGTTTCCATATTTCATCTTTCAATGATCCTCCTCCACTGGGCACATCAAAGGCAGCGTCAATAATATCCAGTAACAGGCGAAGGGTAACACCCGAACCTAAAAAAACCACACCCAAAATATTAAATTTTTGCAAAACTAATTTTAAATACATGCATGTACATGTACAAACAAGCTACATGTACATGTAAAGATTAAAATCTTTTTACAGAGTTAAAAATACAAATTTTATAGCAATAAGTTGTTAAAACTTTGCACATGGTTGTACTGTAAATGTAACTTAAAAGTTACTTTATTTCTTATTCTTACCAAGATTTGCAGCATTGGCCAGATCAAGTAGATATTTCAATATTCTGATCTGTTCGGGTCGATCTGTTGATTTCTTACCGCGAGCTGATATCAACTCGTTGCGTTTCTTGGCGACAGCAGCTCCATCCAGTTCAACATTCTCTTTGCCAAAGAGACTTTTCATCTTCTCCTTGTCAGTCAACTAAAAAAATTCTTTTTAAACCGTATAGCAGGAAATTTTGGAGGGAGTAAAATTTGGCGAATTGCTAAATTTTGGTGATTGGCGGATTTTAATTTTGTGAATTTGTGGCCACGTGCCATTGAGCATGCGTATAATGGCTCAAAATGGCTGATTTTATTTTGGCAAATGGTTATCAAAATGCCAATTCACCAAATTTAATTCCCTTCAAAATTTCCCGCTATACGGTAATAATGACCAGTGTATAAAAGTACATTTACATGGTATCATTAATTTTCATTACTTCTCTTCCGATTCCTTTTCTTTGGACTGTCTCCCATTTCTCTCCCTCCTCCTGTTCCTCTTCTTCGTCAACCTCTTTTGTCTCTTTGGTCTCTTTCTCCTTCCTCTCTCTTCTCTTCGGCTTCACCTCATCGCTAACACCACTAGTTGGCCTAACAAGTGAACATGTACATATACATGTAGATTAGCTGAGTACTAGACTAGCTGAGATAGAGGGTTCTGTGGGATTAATAGCAACAATACATATATACTGTGTTTACACTAGCTTCTTTAACTGAGCCAGCCCTGTTTAAAGTGGGCCAGCATAGTTTCATTTGATAGTGTAAACAGTAACCAAACTGAGCTGAAGTGAGCTGGGCCAAACCAGGCCAGCATGGTTAGTACAGCAGGGCCAGCTCAGTCTGGTTCAGCATGGTTTGGCCCACTTCTGTAGTGTAAACGCAGCAATAGTTGCAAGCTAGACCACAATTGATATGGACAATTGTGTATGTGTACATACAACTCATCTACATGTAACAGGCAAGACAAGTAAAAGATTATTAACTCAAGCTTGATAAGTACAGAAAGTTTTAAAACAACATTTACAAAGAGGTTAACAAGTACATGTATTTCTGGAGGCTTATAAATAATGTCATGCAGCAGTTACATGTACATGTACATTGTACAATGTAAGTGATTTAGAAATCTCTACTTGAGCAATCGGTGAGTTCAAACTACATGCATGGTAGAGTAATCTTTACTTCTTCTTAAGGAAGTACTCAGCTGTGTATCTGTATTCACCAGGTGCCCAGTTCCCTCTCTCGTCGCTATCAGAGCTACTCTCAGAATCACTAGAGCTGCCCCAAGAGCTATCATCATCATCATCGTCGTCTGACTGGTAGCCGTCCGCTTTCTAAAGGGGTGTGGTCAAGTGGGTGTGGTCATGTAAAGGCATACCGTTGAGGGTGGGGCCTCAGGTGGAGGAGCTTTAGATTCTTCAATATCATCATCATCATCTTTGAATATAATTAAAATTAAAAAATTAATAATGTATCTAGTCTACCTTCATCTTCATCTTTATCTTGTTCCTGTTCCTCCTCTTCCTCATAGAGCTCAGGGTTTTCACGAAAGTGTTTCAAGGGAACTTCAAAGTCTTTGTTATACTTGCGAACCTTTTGCTTCAACGAGGCTAGAGCCTAACAAAGGAGAGACAATGAAATTCTTTACTGTATAAAATAACCTCCACATAAAGGACACCTCTGTATAACAAAGCAACTTTTTTGTACCAAAGCATCCATTATACATGTATAGAGGGTACAATTATTAGTGGGTTTTAAATTACTTTTGAATTAATTTTTGAGAGTTTCTGTTTTGCTTCTTTATCTTCCCAAAGCTACAAATAAAACAAATAATAATAATAATAATAATAAAATAACAACTTTTATTTCAACCCCCCTCTCTTTTTCTTACTGTTTGAACAAAATCCTCAAGTTCTCCGATTGACTTTATAAAGAACCTTGGCGGGCCATCCTCTGTATCAAGAACACTTTTACTCTTCACGTAAGCTTTCTGGAGTACCTCGAACTCTAAAAAAAGAAAAAATATTTTTAAACAAATGCAAGAAAACTTAAGGTCTCTCATTAAGTGGTAGATATAATTCAATTTGCTCTCTCTCTCTCTCCTTCTCTCACCGTTTTGAACTTTAACAATATCTCTTATTTTCTGTCTGTTCCTCATAGAGTGTATAATGTCCTTTAGTTCGTCAGATCTATAAATACATGTACATTTCAATGTGGGTGTGGTTATAAATTCTAGCCACCCACTAACTAATAATTAAAACTTACCTTTTGTCTTTTTGTGATCGTACGACGCGTTTCTCTTCCTCGTCATCGCTGAAAGCAAACTGTGGCTTCCTGTCATGGCAAAATGCATTTTAATTATAACCCGATACTGCCTTGACTCTAATTAATGCCCACCAATCCCATATCCTAATTAATGCCCACCAAAATTAAAAGTACTGAAAGTTACCTAGCAGGGACCGAGCGAGTTGGTTGTGTTTCTTCATCAGAGCTCTCAGTAGAGGACTCGCTATCGCTACCAGTTGCGAAGAAACGAGACATTGTCTCTTCTTTACTTTTTCACGAGCACGTGGTCACTTAATTACTAGGCGTGGCAGCCACACCTATAAAAGGCGTGTCTACATTAAGACAAAATGGCGGCACCTGTGCAACTTGTGCAACAAACAACCTCCAAGTCATTCGACTCTGCAAATGAAGATGGAGATGATAGCTCCAATGAGCTGGAAGCTAAAGCTAGTAGGGAAGATGAGGAATGCTTGTTGGAGCAGCAACCAGTTAGGAAAATTTATTATTGATTTTAAAGAAAAACATTTTCTAATTTTAGGGTGTAGTCACCAGGAAAGGACCTAGGTCAAGATCATTTAGGAGAATATGCTGTCTTATTCTCATTGGACTTGCCGTCATTTTTGTACTGAGTTTCATACTAGAGATTGCCATCACTCTCTCCTTTGTATTAACAAGTAAAAATGGTACGAGAATATTAATCTTAATTTTAGTAAATTTGGTGATAAATATATTCTTAAATCATTAGAATTTCTTTGCTGTATGTATTTTCCGCATGTCTATCATACATGATGACATCAGCATGGAAGAATAATTGACAGTTTAATTTTTTCATGTTCTTTATTTCATCATTGCAGAGTCTCCTACTAGTTCTAGTTCGCAGAATCTCCTCACCCTACAAGACGTATTTGATCCTTCTCTGCAGACAAAGACTTACCAGGGGACGTGGGTAAAAGGAGGAGAGATAGGAGGAGGGGACAGTCAGATCCTTCACCTCTCGTCAACTGATGGGGTGACGCTATTCTCACCATCAGAGAATGTCACCAGAACACTGTTAGACAAGGAAACTGTTGCAGAGTAAGACTTGTACATGTACATACATGTACATGTATATTATGATACATGTACATGTATATGTATTTTATTATTTTTATTTTTATCATTTTTACTAATTTTTTAGTCTCAAAATTTCAAGTGTTAAGTTATCACCAAGTGGCCGATACCTTCTCTTAATTGGTGACATTAAGAAAGTAATTCCAAAAAGTTCATGAGATATTTTAGTTTCCTTTTTATAATGACAGGTGTATCGTCACTCGTTTATTGGTAAATATTATATACATGCTTTTGAGCCACAGGAGTAAGTAATTAACACTGTATAGTATTTATTTTAATAATTATTTATTTATTTTATTTTATGCAATTGCATTATTTGTGTTTTACATGTAGTAATATAATTTTCTCAACAATTCATGTATACAGTATATTATGTTGTTTTAATACTACCTGTAGGAATACATGTACTTGGCTGCTTGACATTGATGTCCAATATGCTCAATGGAGTCCTTTTAATGACGATGTTTTGGTATGTTGAGATGTACATGTACATGTAAATGAATATTTTTTTACATTTTACTCAAACGTTTCTCGCTCTTTAATTTTAATTCTCTCTCTCTTTCTCTCTCTCTCTCTTTCTCTTCTCTGCCAGGTGTATGTTAAAGATTATAACATAATATTTTATAATGCTATAAACTCTTTGTATCAGCAGCACACATTTGATGGTGAGGAGAATCAGATATACAATGGAATCCCAGACTGGGTCTATGAAGGTAGTGAGGGATCGTGTATAATATGTTCATGCACATATTACTCAAGTTCATTACTCCATTTGTGTTCATCTGAGCTTGTTATAACTTTTGACTTACTAGTTTTATTGCATGTACATACAACCATACATGTACCAAAGAATTATCTCCTATTTATTTCTGGCAAACTGCCCTATGCTATATGGTACAGGTGGGTCTCTGGCCCAATTTTTGAGCAAGTTTAAAAATTCATAAAAAATCTAATTTTGATTGGAAGCAGCTCAAACTTTCTACACAACATAAGAACATGTATATGTATCAGAAAAAGTTATAAAAATTGATAATTTTCTCCTTGTCATTTTTGGTGAGATTTAGCCGAAGACACTGTACTATAAGTACAGGGTCTTTAGCATGATTTCTGAGCAAATTTAAAATTACTTAAAAAATACAATTTTGATTGGAAATAATGTGTGTGTATTATGTTTTATTTTATTGCTCTTTCTTCAATAGAGGAAGTGTTCTCCACTAACTATGCTATATGGTGGGCACCTGACGGTCAGCATACACTGTACTGTACCTTCAATGATACCTTGGTATGAGAGAGAGGGAGAGGGAGGGAGAGAGAGAGAGAGAGAGAGAGAGAGAGGAGAGGGAGTGGGAGAGGGAGAGAGAGAACTACGTGTACACGTACATGGTATAGAACTTTATAATTTTTTATCATTTTTAATTTTTAGGTTGAACAGTTTCAATTCCCTGAATACGGCCCCAGGACTGACGAATATACACAAATTGAGTCTATATCATATCCAAAAGTATAATTAATTAATTAATTAGCTATGAATATTAATTAATTGCCTGGTTATTAATAGGCTGGTTCCACTAATCCATATGTGAAGGTCTGGGTTGTTGGAGCTAGTAATATTGGTAAAAACGAGTCACTTGAGTTACCGCCCCCAAACGAGTTTCAAAAGTACGCTATACACGTATTTCCATAGCAACAAGCCACACCCTTTATTTGTTTTAGTATTGATCACTATGTCTTGTGGGGGGCGTGGCTGAACCCCTCGGTGGCAGGTGTGTCCTGGTCTAACAGAAGACAGGATAGAGTGATACACTGTCTGTATAATGTCAACGACACTGTTACTGAATGTAATCAGGTTAGGACTACATGTACATCAGTACATCAGTACATCTATGTACATACATGTACATACATGTATGTATATGCACATGTACATGTATGTACATAGATGTTTGTGTAATATGTTTTAATAAAATGAATTTTAAAATTTGCTTCAAAAATAAGTGACAAATTGCATGTAATACTATAGGTTTATACACAAGTCAGCGATGCTTGGGTTGAAGTGGTAAGCTCCTTTATTATTATTATAATTAATTATTGTGGGCGTGGTTGGTAGGTGGAGCCTCCAGTGTACACGTCTAATCACATGTTCATTATTGATTCAGTCCTGGTTGGTAGTGGGGATAAGTTCCTTCATGTTGTTCAAGTTGATTTACAGGTAATTGATTATATAAGATACATGTACATGCAAGTTTGCAATGTACATGTATCAGGATTTTGCCTAGAAAAAAAATTAGAGGTGGTTGGAGACTAATATTGCTCCTTTTAAATTAATGTACACCATACTAGTAGACTACAATATCATGCTTTATGTATGGTTATTAGTATTAATTGCATGGTTGGTCTAAGTGATGAACTGGCTGGTTCATTTGTTGAGGTGGTTGCCCCAACCACCCCCTCCCACCATAGGCAGAACTATACATGTACATGTACAGATTCATCATTATTATGTGTTATATTGTTCTTATATTTACAGACTGGTAATTCTAACCCCTTGACCACTGGGGAGTGGGAAGTGACTCACATCATTGGAGCTACTGATAACGACTTGTAAGAAGAACACATTCTATAAATAGAATATGTTCTAAAAATAGCAATTGATGAATATTTCTTATTTACATGTACATATAGACTTTATATAAGTACAAAGACAAACCCATGGCAACGCCACATTTACAAGTGAGTTTTGAATTGTATGTATTATATATGTATATGTACATGTACATGTAAATGCAAAAATGTAAATTTTTAAAATTTTCTTTTTCTTTAGTTTGGTTGGTGAGTGTCTCACGTGTGATGAGACTGAGTGGACAGGATCCTGCCAGTACTGGAGTGGGTCTTGTTCCGATTCTCTTGAGTACTGTATGCTCCAGTGCAGTGGACCTGATATACCATTCACTATAACTCTCAAATATGAAGGAGGAGGATTCGTACCAGGTAAAGAAAGGGAGAGAGAGAGGGGGGAGAAAGGGAGAAGTAAATGTACATGTACATGTACACAGATGTTTACATAGATTAATTTTTTATTAACTTACTACATGTACATTCTAACTTTTACACTTTTGTTTTGTTACTTTGTTGTTTAGTTGTGTATTTAGAGAGAAATGAGTTATTAAGAGAGTCGATTGCGTCATTTGATCTTCCAACAGTCGAAGTAGTAACTATTCCTTCTAATGAACCTGGTAAGAGAAGATATTCATTATTATAATTTATCAAGTTTTCTCTCTCTCTCTCCCTCCCTCTCTCTCTCTTTTCTTTCTCTATTAAGATGAGCCTTCCCTATATGCCAGGGTTATGTATCCTCCAGGTAGTACTAGAGAATGTGATAAAACTCATCCGGTTTTGTTTTATGTCTACGGAGGACCTTACAGTCAAATGGTTAATCAATAATCATAATTATTATTATGCATCTCATCATAAATAATCTCATGTATCTATTTAACTTTAAGAAAAATGTTAAAATCAGTAGAACTAAAGCTATGTACATGTAAAATGCTAGTCTTTGTTTTACTCTGTTTATCATAAAACTTTTAATCCTTTCTCCTTACTTCTTTTGCATTATCATTTAAGTATCTCTTCTTTCCCTGTAGATTGGTGAAGTTGCTGTCACTAGTCGTCTCTTCATTGCTTATCTTGCCTCAGAGTTTGACATGATGGTCGTTAGTGTTGATGGGAGGGGCACTGGTTTCCGTGGCGACAGGTGCTCACTCCATACAAATTAGCTAATAATATACATTAATTTTATTTCTTATTATTTTTTTTAGTTTCAAACATTCAGTGTATCGACAGTTAGGCCAATTAGAGACAGTGGATCAACTTAGAGGGGCCAGGTAGGGTGTTTAGTCAAATTTTGAATGGTTTATGAGCTTTATTTATACAGATTTTTTCAGGAAAAATGCTACGTTGACTCAAGTCATTTTGCTATTTATGGATCAGTGAGTATATAGAATATACATGTACATCATCTAGCTTGAGGCTTAAATTTTGATTTCATTTGGATTTTTGAAATTAAAATTTCTAGATAATGTACATGTAATTTATTCCTGAAATTAAAAGCAGCAAAAAAATTAAGATTTTTGAGTGGACCATCAATAGTTTAATCCCCTAAAAGTTTTTGGTTTTTGGTTATACAGTACATGTACATGTATGCTCTCTCTCTCTCTCTCCTCTCCTCTCCTAGTCTTATGGTGGATACATGGCTGGTATGATAGAGTCTAGTGGTACTGGAGTATTCACTGCTGCTATATCACAATCACCTGTCTCTGACTGGCATTACTATGGTAACATTAATTTGAATATAACATTGAACTCAATTTGTATTCTTTTCTTCTACATTTCTCCTCTCTCTATCTCTGTCTTTTACTTTTGCTCTCTCTCTCTTGTAATTTTATTGTCTCTCTCTTTCAGATTCTATTTACACAGAGAGGTATATGAATCTACCAACTGATAACTCTGATGGTTATAGAGTATGTTGTTTCTTCACTCAATAATAATAATTATTACTGATTAATGTGTCTTAGGTTACTTCACTGCTTAATAGACTATCCAATGTGTCTGTGGAGTCCTTACCTCATTATTTATTAATACACGGAACTGGAGATGGTAATTAATAAGTAATCTATTGTATTCTTGCTGTGATGTATTATGTACATGTATAATAGACTATTGTGTATAACAATGGAGTGATTGTATTGTAGTAACTATAATAGTATATTAGTAGCTGTGAAACTCCCTTCCTTATTTCTCTTCTTCATTTATTTTGTAGATTTTGTAGTGTATGCATATTGCATACATGTACATCTAGTTGTGAATCTTCTTCTCTATGTCTCCTCTCTCTTTTTGTTTATTTTGTAGATAATGTTCACTTTCAGAATACTGCCCAACTGATATCAGTACTCACTGAAAGAGAAATCCAGTATCAACTGATGGTAGGCTGGTGTACATGCAACTATGCAAAATCTTGAATAGAATGGTTGGCATTATATACCAAACCATTATATATTTATGGTATAATATATAACGTTTTGTTTTTTAATTTTTTAAT